CGTAGACGAAGGCACCACAGTCCGTGAAGTAGATCTACTGAAAACAAGAGTCAACATTTGTTTTTGTTCGTGACACCAAGTACAGACTGTACAAGCCGTGTGAAGCAATGGGTACCGTCCAACTGCAGCATTCTACAGATATAACTCTTGTTCGTGACGCCAAGTACGTACATATAAGCCTGAGAAGAAAATGGGCACCTTTTCACTGCAAAATTCTACGTTTAGCCGGTGGTGCTGCGTGTTTCGTTGCACTCGCCGCACTCAAGTGTTTGGAGTAATTCTCAATGTCGAGGAGCGCCCTCATTCACACAAGGCGACAACACTTGGACTATCCGCTCGAAAAAGCAAGGGCGGCGAATCCTTTCCGATCAGTGCTGTTGCAATCTTCTGCAGCAAGGATCGAAGGGCTACTGTATCTGCAGTACCCTCTTGCCATCATCACCTTGGGCATTGCGTTTTTGCGAACAACAGCAAGTCAAAACGAGACGACAGGAGGACGCGGTTGAGACCCTTCAGGTGTTCATCGAGGCGATATTCTCCGTTCTCGACCCGGAGGTAACAATGCCCAGGGTGATGGCAACAAAAGGGCTCTGCAGATACAGTAACCCTTCGATCCTTGCTACAGAAGATTGCAACAGCACTGATCGGGAAGGATTCGCCATCCCTGCTTTTTCGAGCGGACGGTCTAAAGTGCTGTCGCCTTGCGTGAATGAGAGAAGCATGCGCACAAGGCGAGGCCCGGAGCGAAAATCATGCTGAATGCGACCGGAGGAGCCGGCTGACAGTTGCCTCTAGTAGTACTGTTGTTCGAGGAAAGGCTGAGAACTCGAGTCAAGGTTACGGTAAGGGCAAATAAAATAGCTCGTGACAAGAGTACCAGCCGAGAGCACAGACCCATTCCGTGAAAACGTTTAGGAAAGTTGGGAGACCTCCAGGAGAATCGTTCTACAGCTGTACCTTGCGAATACCCAAATCGGATGTTCGTTCGGCGGGGAAGCTCAGACGCGAAGAAGTTATCACCGGCTTCACACACGACCCTACCGATGCCACAACGCTCGGGCGGTATCACGCCATACGGCAGGCCTCAACATTCACCCTGTTCGTCTTCGGGGTATTCGGGGCAGCCGTTCGTTCAGGCGGTAGGTGGGGGTGAGAGGACAGCCGCCGGCTACATTCCAAACTTCCGATGCCGTCTGATGATCGCCTCGACTGCAACAGAGGCATCCATCCCCACACTCATGTGCTTGCAGTACCAATCGACGCAATGTGCGTAGGACATGCATGCAGGCACTTTGCCTCCGATGATCGATGACGGAGGATGGGTTGCTCCGGGAAGCAGCTACCAGCCCGCAGTGCCGTTGCGGCCACCGAGCGGGAACCATGTAGAACGAAACATGACGTGAACACGAGGTATCTCATGTACGGAATGGGCGCCGGTTAGATACATGCTGTAGATGGCGGAGCATTGTATGGGCTGACAAGCAGGCTGAAAATAGAGGCGGAGGCGCTGTTTACGATGACACATGTCGAGGAGTTCGTCGAAATGACCTACATGCGTATCGTTAGACCTGCAGTGGTTGCGCGGCAAGGACAACGAGCACACGCAACCGACGGACGTAGGCAAAAAATTCGTTGTTCCAGCTTTGAACGGTTCTGCAACGTGTCGGAAATCTCCATCCTGGCTCTACGATCGCAAGGGACTTGCTCCGCCGCCACTACCCAAGCCAGCATACCTGGCGTTAGAACGCAGTCTGGTACAACAACATCTTCAAGCATCTAGATTACATATTATCTCGTACCACGCGAATACCAGCCTTGGGCCCACCTTGAGAACCATCGCCAGCTGGAGGAGGAGGTCGTTTTGGAGCTCCTCCAACGTCCGAGGGGCGGGGTCACTCCACAAGCGTCCTCCCTCCAGCAGCCGTGCTGCATCACGATTCATTGCAACACAGAGATGATTCGATCAGTATTCAACAACCAACCGTCGGAGAAATGGAAAGGAAAACCAACCACGGGAGAAATGGCAAGTAGCTATTCCCTCGCTCGCCGTATTGTTCAAGCTGTTGTCCGGGCCATCGATAACATGGGTTTCAAGACGACCAATCTATCAGCCCAACTGAAGTAGGCAACTTGTGCAGGCTGCACGGCAAAGAAGCTCGGCGACGTGGAGTTGCGCGCAACCGACTGCAACGATGACGGCGATGATGGTGACAACAACAACAACAACAACAACAACAACAACAACAATATCTAGAACGCATGAGAGAGAGTCGCATCGTGGGTAAACTTCCGGTGACTGGTCATGCCCTTGTGCACCACGACGTTCGTTGGACCCGAAGCATGGACACTTACTTACTGTGCGGCGCAATGGTTTCCAAATTATCGTCTGGGCCATTGTTCCGCATCAGTTGGGGAAAACATACATGAAATCATCATCACGCGTAGGCGCACACGGGGGAAGACACGTACCGGCAGTCCCACCTTCGACTCTCGCAGCAGCAGGCTCACGAGGCCGGGGGAGGCCCGCAGAAGTTGAACCGTCGCGATCAGGCCGTTCGAACGGCGTTTCGGTGAATCACAAACCGCAGCGAGACCGGTTGCCTGAACCGGTGTTTCCTGATCGCGACGGTTCAACTTCTGCGGGCCTCCCCCGGCCTCGTGAGTCTGCTGCTGCGAGAGTCGAAGGTGGGACTGCCGGTCCGTGTCTTCCCCCGTGTGCGCCTACGTGTGATGATGATTTCATGTACGTTTTCCCCAACTGATGTGGAACAATAGCCCAGACGATCATTCGGAGACGCTGACGTAGAGATACGAGTTCCAGCCATGAATCGACCAAGTTCGAACCCGGCGGGGAGGGGGAAGAGGGAACGAAAAAGTCAGTATCCTCTACGGAAGTCCTGATCGTTCATAGTACGCCACGCAGTCTCCCAAATAGGGCATCCCGTTGACCTCATACTATTTCTAAACCCTTGGTACAAGCGGGGTAACGGAAGAGCCCGAGCCACCCCAGATTGGGGGCAATCAAAAGAGCCTCAAGTCTTTTACGTACGGAATGAATTATTCACGGATAAAATTCGCCACAGACCTCGTGCACGCCGAGTTTTGCGTCCTGCCGCAATCTCAGGAGTCTACGCGATACATCCTGTTAAATGCCTTTCATCAGCAGCACCTAGACTGCTCTTGTGCCCAGGCCTGAGAATGCGTACGCCTGCCTGGATATATGGTCGCACGGCCGAGCCACAAGCCGCAGCTGAGCCTCAAGACTACCAGCACCCACCCAGACTCCCACCGCTTCTTCGGTATCTGCTCTTGTACCCAGGTCTGAAAAGGTTTGTTTCGAAGGGGGTAATGCTCCATTAACAATACCTTTGTTGCTGATAAAGCTATGTTACCTTTCCCGACCCTTGATTCCCGACGAATTGGCGCCAAGGCAAGGCAAAAGTGTAGCCCAGGCTGGTTTGGAACACCTACGCTAGGCGTAGCGCGTACTCGGAACACCCGTTGTGCGTCCGAACAAGCGTGTGCCTTTGGAGGTTTCATGCGTACCGCACGTTCAAACGATGAGTACATGGCGAGGGCCACCTACCAATTATGGTTAGGCGCTCGCCGTTGTTGTCGTTTGCACCTAGACCCACGTATTGGAATGTGGGGTTGTTGCAGGAGAATGGACCATATACCACACCCCCTGGACCGATTTTCAAAGCTCGACAACTCTGCAGCGAACATGCACACAACCAAAGGCGCAGAAAAATGGCGGCGTTGGAACCGTCTCGTCGAGAGCTCTCCGAAAACGCGTGGGGCAATCGAGAGTTGAAAATCGGTCCAGGGGGTATGGTATCCATTGTCACCTACGATACCTTCCTTGGAACTCACCATGCATACCTGTAGGGTCTACGACTTGTCGGTATTTCCTTCAAAAACCGCGACTGACTCCGGAGGTATCTGCGCCCAGGGCACAAGAGGTAACGTGTGCAGTGTAGGTCCTGGAAACTAGACAGTCTTACAGCCTCAGGAACAAGGGTCAGTAGGAACAAGGGTCAGTAGGAACAAGGGTCCAACAAGGGTCCTGCAGCACGGCCCTAAAGGGGCACACCTCCTTAAAGATTGGTATCGTGCTTGCTTGGTGTCGTCGTCATGTATCATGAAAATACGTTGAGGGAAGACACAAGACACAAATACACCGAAGCACTTGTACTCTGCTCTACCTGGTTGTACTTGTAGAGTCTGGTCTGAAGGTTTTGCTACGGTAACCGTTGTTACGTTAACCTTTCAACCCGCTTGTCGTGGTGACCTTTCCATGGAGGAACTTCCCCCCAGACTTAAAAAAAAAAATCCATTCCGGTGTGTATGGACACATGGACACGTTTTGAACGAGGGTTTGGTCGTGGTGGTGGTGGGGGGGGGGAGGTGCGATGAACCGTGTTGCATCTCGTCTCTTGTCGGCGAAAAGGTTCAGTCTGTAGTCTGTATTCTACTTCACAGGTATCTACATGTACTGTAGTGGTACAATGTAGACTGTACGCCCTGCAACTTCAACGCTTCATCAGTATTCAGTATCTACCTCACAGTACAGCAGTAGTAGAGCAGTAGTTGTCTACTGACTGTACCCCTTTGAGCTCGGCGGGAACAACCAACACGTACATGCCAGCAGAGCACCCACATTACGCGGCGCACTGAGCTTTGTTTGGAGCGCCCAGCACGTGATGGGGGCGAAATCAGTTTGGCTTGAACAGCACGGCTCTTTTCAGTACCAGCTCTGCTGTTTATTTAGCACTCCACGTCTCTGTCATTCGTTGGTGGTAAATGTAAATGACACGAAGGACACCGGCCGCTACCGACTGCTTGCTGCAGCGGGTTGCGGCGATGCCGAGACGCGCCGCGAAATGTTGTAACGTGGTATTGGTCAACGACGGAGTTGAAGAAATTCCTGAACACAAGCCCGACTCCCATGGTTGGAATTTCAAAGCCCTGCTTTGGTCGGTCGCCACACTCCGCCCGCTTGAGGTGTCGCGCACTGGCGGGTGTGCATTATTTCGTGAGCACACCAGCCGTAAACCACAGGCCCGATTAAGGAAAAATAAATACAAGCGCAGAAAGACTACCCATTCGAGATATACCCGCAGTAGTCGAACGGGATGTGGTGGGGTCTTTTCAGTTTGTGGCGGAAAACCCGATACATTCGAAGCATGCTGAGCAAACTACAGCAGCGAACATCAGCAAACGGCAGCAAACGGCGTACATGTATCTTTCGGCAGACCAAAATCATGAATGCAGGTGATCGCTATTCACTTCTTAAGAAGCCCACGCGAGACACTCACGAGAGGACGTCCCTGTCCACCAGTGCTTCTTCGCCTCCACCCCCGACAGCACCACCAGTGGCGTTGTCGTCGGCATCGTCATCATCTTCATCAACGTCCAGCGGCACCGCGAAAACACCAACAATTTGAATCGACAACCATTCCTCCCTGCCGATGCCGGCTGCGAACAAGATCACCGCTGGATCGGTCGACCATGATGGCGCCCATGAACCCTCTCCCTCGAGACAGCAGCAGCCCTTCCGCTGCCGCGCTGTCCGGAGCAGCTGGCTCACCATCTCGAACGAGGAATAGATGGCCGCATGATTTCGTTGAAGAAGCAGCAACCGCGTGGTGAAGGGCGGCAACGGCAAGGCTCGGCAGGTCGATCCACACCAGCAGCAGCACTGCCGCAGCACCCGGGAGGAAAGGTCGAAGGCATCGCCCACCTCGACTGGGACGAAAGCGGAGGCGCTACGCCAGCGGCAGCGGCCTCCTGTGGCTACGTCTCATCAAGCACGCGGGTGCAGAGCAGCACGACGACACACAAAGTGGGCGGAGTGTACAATATAGCAATAGAGCGACCGACCAATCAGGGCGTTCCAAAGCATGCGGGACACAGGGGAAGGGGGCTGCTGGCTGCTTGCTTGTGCACCAGGGCAATTTGTGCAAGGGACACAAGGCGTTTTCTGTCTGGTAAAAAAAAAAAGGCGAAACGGCCGATTCCGCCGCATATTTGGCAACAGCGCCCACACAACACCGGTGATCCTCCCTTCTTGGTGTCATCACGCTAACGCCTGATCCACTCTAAGAATCCAGCTCGTGCATCACCAAACCCAGTTGGCGAGATCGAGCAGCGAATCTCTTTGCACATAGGCAACATGGCTCGTGCCGGTTACTTCTTCTCCGCGATCATCGCCCTGCTGCTGTTCATGGTCACCAACAACCTGGCTCAAGCGCTAGATTCCTCTGCCTTTGAGGCCTCGCTGGATGCCGCTGAGGAAGCTGTGGCGTCAGCAATGCGAGCCGCACGGGTGGGTGAAAAAGGGAGGCGAACAGACAAGTAGGCTGCTGTCGATGCAGACAGACCGGTGGAAGGGGAAGCGAGGCAGAGAGGGAGATAGATATAGTCTAGAAAGGCACCTACACAAGATCGCGAACGGGTTAGGAGTGTTGTACAGACTAATCCTCTAATCGTCCATTTCGTGCGGAGAAACATCCAGCGCACACGCATCATGCATAAGCCCACTAATCGAAAATCGGGGCCCGTAGGGAGGGAGGGGGAGTTGTTGCTATTGCAGCAGTGGGCGGGGAGTGTGTGGGGAAATTTACAAAGAGATCAACAGGTTGTACGATGAGGCGTAGGCCGGGACATGGAAATAATGCTCCGGGGATCCCCGGATGATACTTGGCATTTTCGCTAATGAGGCTGCCGCTGCTGCTGTTGCTCTGTGTGTGCGAATGTTGTCTGGGCTTAGAGACCCCCGAGAGGTGGCAGGCATCACCCCGCGACCCCAAGGCGTGTCTTTGGGAAGATTTTCATGCATACCCCGAACATCCCTTCTTGGCGCAGCCTCTACAGCACTACAGACGGCAGCAGCAGACTACATTGTTGCCTATGGAATACTTACATGCTGTAGAGGACACAGCAGCAGGTCAATCTGTAGGTTGATTTGCCAGATGGAGGCTACAACTAGGTCACTATTCTTCACACCACAGCGTAGCCAAGCAGCCGTGAAGAGGCGAAAACCTCCGAGCGGTTATTCTACTTGTAGAACAAGGTGATGTGCAAATCCTTGCTTTGTATAAAGGTTCCACCCGAAGGTGATTGATCACACTCTTCCCCCTTGCTTCGCTAACCCGGTGTGCATAGCACACTTTCTCCCTCGAAACAGCTCTCAGACACGCGTCCCTTTCCATAAACTCCCTGCCCCGTGTTTTTTTGTGTAGACTATACGCGCGGCGTGCCCGCTGTTCAACCGTTGTGTGTAATTTCGCATTCGGAGATTTCCTCGTTCAGAAAATATTTTCAAGCGCGATCGACCCCTCCCTCCGAGGAGGGTAATTTCGAACAGTGTTCGCCAAAGTGATTGATTTTGACTCCGTTCCTGTTCCAACAACGATGCCTTCAAAACCCCATGCACGCACAACAGGCCCGAGCGGGACACGTCGACCGCCCCGTAGGCACGTCGGCGTATCAGGTACCCGTTACTGCCTCTGAAGCTGCTACCAACGGCGACCCTGGTGAAGGACTCCACGACGGCAAGATGGCAACGGCCGATGGCAGCGGCACCGCGAAATATGACGCCCCCAGAAGCGTGGACGTCGCGGGGTGAGATGCTGCGTTTGAGTTCGAGTTCCGATGATTTTGCATGCTCGGCGGTTCTGCCCGTGCACCAAACAACATCCTCTACACGCAGAAACTACAATATGCAGTGTTTCGTCTCGCATTTTTCGGGCTTACTTTATACTCCCAGTGGCTAGGAACAATATCCATTCCACCTCCATGCAGGCCCTTCCCCTCTTTTGGGCTTCGGGCAAACTGCAGAGAGAGCACAGAATGCTGCTCCACCCGCAGTGTGGCCACCAGTATTCCGTGCTGAACCTCCGACCAACCCTTTTCTGAACGATGCGGATCGATGGGTTTAGCGGTGAGCCCCGCCTTAGTGCAGCAGGAGTGCAGAGCACCTTCCCTGATGTACGATAGCACGTGTCAGCCCGTACATACAGTACGTGCCAATTCATCCAGCATGTAATCGCAGCGTTCCGTTTTGACGTATCCTGCCTGGACAAACTCGAAGGCTGGCGATTGCACGCGGTTAGGACCACATCTTGTAAGAGTGCTCATAGCCTGTACACTTGGGATCGCCGGTGCCCGTGCTTGCAAGCACCAAGCGTCGAAAGCTGATAGGATTGCGTCCGTTCGTGAAGGAGCTATATCGCACATTTTCTCTCAGCAGCATCCAACGCTGCCTCTGAATAACCAATGTGGCAACATGCCTTGACCTCTTCTGGACGCCCCCCTCGCCCTCACCCTCGCGCTCGCACGTCACCGCCGACCGCGTTCAGGACCCTCTTGGATGACACGCCACCTGTCCCGGGAGAGGTCTTACCGGCATCTTCAGTTGCATGCGACAGCGTCACGCCAGAGAACACTGTCCGAGACGAGCCCATCGTCCAGGCGCCCGCACCAAGCGCGCCTACGGGTGTCGAAACCGAGAAGGTGAGAAGCAGACAAACATGAACCACCATTGGTATACACCATGTTGCCTCGACCTGGATCGTGTGTAACGCTACCTAACGAGAGTTGTTCTTGGATTCGGCACAGACCAGAGACCCGATTCGAAAGATACGAAGGACATGTTCGCGCAAACAACGTTGTAGAGCGATCAACAACCGACGGGAATAGGTGCCGTTTATGGTCTCAAACGGCAATGCGCTAGAAAAACATGGTTTCCTCCTCTCTACCTTGGTTAAGTACTGGGTTGATCGCAGCAGGATTGGAGGCTTACCCCTGAACTGTCGCTGTACCTTGGCTTGCTTCGAGTCGGGATGCTGAGTGTTCCCCGTGACCGAACGTTGGCCTGCGGCTTCTTCATGGACCTCAGAACCGAATGCGCTCGATCAAACAACTACTTAATGGAGAATGAAGACAAAAGTGTTCGAGAATCAAGTACTGACCCCCTCCACACGACCACCTACGTATGTAGCTAGACAATGCCTGGACTCAACGGAACAAGGCAAAGGACCGACTTGTTAGTTCTTCAGATAAGAGCTTCTCCACCCCGCTCTCAAAGTGTCTTACCGTACTGCCATTGTCCCGGCGCCGAAGCCCTTGGTAGCTCCTCTTTAACTAGTGGCATACCTGCCTTACCCACTCACCCGCACCATGCGAATGGCGTCGAGTCGAATACGGCGCTGCATTCCGGCACGGCAAACATCACGCCATCCTCATACCAGAGCGTTTGATCGCTATTCCGCCTCGGCATATGATGCTTAGAGAACGCGCACCCGTGCTTGAACGCGATCCGTTTTGGCCTGAGTAGCCGGTTCTACCTCTGTCGGGACAGATCATGATGATTTGCACTCACCGACAGATCTCCTAGATGGAGGCCACAACAAGGTCACTATGAGAGAAAATGAAGCGCGCCGTTCACGCCAGTGCAGTTGAGCAGCCGTGAAGATGTTATCACCTTCTCGTGGAAACTATTATATTGCAGAGGCACCCGAAGGTGAATGATCACGCTCTTCACCCTTGCTTCGCTACGCCGGTGTGCACAGCGTTCCATTACCTCCAGTCGTTCCGCACGCACGCGTGCATTTCCACCAACTTCCCTCCCGTGTCGAATCGGACAGATGTTCGTTCGTTCGTTCGTTCATAAAAACCTTTGCAAGCGCGATCGACCCCGCCCTCTGAGCAAGGGGGTTCGGAACAACGTTCGCCAGTGATTGGTGTTGACTCATTTCGTGTCCCAACATCCATGTCTTGAAAACCCTCTGCACGCACAACAGATCCGTGACCTCGATGGCATTTCGGGGGACCTGGCGCCCGCGCTCGCATCACCACCAGTTGCGTTTCTGGACGCCTTGGCTGCAGCTGAAGACGCTGCCGCGTCAGCACGACGCCCGCTGGTGGGTGAACTTTGGCTCGAAAGGGAAGGGTGTATTTTCAAAGATTGACAGTAGAACACCGAGAGCGGCCAGAATGGGAAAGAATGGAAGAGAGACAGACCGACAGAGAGGCAAAGAGGGTGAAAGAAAACAAGAGAGATAAACAGATGACAATGCCTGGACGAAATATCGTGACAATTGCGGTGTGTTGCAATTTTCCGGGTGCCGCACAAATCCCTCTATGAATGGATGTGTCAAACACCTACCAACCAAGTTCTTGTGCTATCTACCAACATCGATATTTTCAACAACCCCTGCACGCACAACAGGTCCAAGATGTACGTAATCTGGTGGACCAGGTGCCCGTTACTGCCGCTGGTGCTGCTACCAACGGCGACCCTGGTGAAGGGCTTGACGAGGGCAGAATGGCAACGGCCGAAAACCACCACAGCGCGAAATACGACGCCCCTTGGAGTGTGGACTTCCCGAGGTGAGATGCTGCATATGAGTTCAAGTGTCGATGATATTGCACGCTAGACGGTGCTGCCTGTGTACAAGAAAACCAATAACGCCCCGCAACCGGTCGCCCCGGTGGTCTAGCGGTAACCTCGAAACCGCTAGTGACAGAGTCGTGAGTTCGAATCACCATGGGGTGTAAATGTCAACTGTGCCGGAGAAAGACAAAAATAAAAGCTGAAAAACTCTTGTGAGTACCAAACTTCGACGTTAGCACCGTTGACGAGGGACAAGGACGGTTGGACCCTCCTCGCTATGAAAAACAAAAATTCAGTACGCACCGCAGGAGGAAGGTGGGGCGTCTGAAAAAAAACAAAAAGCCCCGGTGTTTACCCCCTCCCGTGTGACCCTGGATGGTTGTACATTTACTGTAGGAAAAAAAACACTGAAAAAAGTGTACTGTAGTATTCTACATACACTGAAAGTGCAGTACACATCTCGCCGCGAAAAATGGGGAGACTGTCGCCATAAGAATAAGACGAAAACACACACACATATACACAGAACTGCAACGAGTGTTTTGTCTCGCATTTGTCACACGTTGTTTCCGCTCCCGGTGACTAGGAAGAAGACTCATACCGCCTTCATGCAGCCCCTGCCCCCCTTTGGGCTGCGCGTGAACTGCAAAGAGGGTACCGCGGGCCGATCCACCGGTATTGTGGCCGCCATTATTCTGTGCTGCGCCTCCGACCGACTCTAGATACCGAACCAGTAGGCGAAAATGCTGTATCAGTCATCACCCAACCTCCCGAACATCGACAACCTTGACAGTTAGTGACAACAGAGGTGATCGGATTCTCAGTACAAAGTATCGATGGCCGTAGGCGTGTGGTTCTACTTTCCGTGCCCTCTCTGCAGGTTGCCCCCAGCCTCTACCCCCGCTGGTATGCGTTGAAAACGATAGAAAGGGACCGACCGCATATGCCTCGAAGCTCAAACATATGGCCATACTAAACCACCAAGGAAAGGGACAAGAAAAAACATGTGTTTCTGTTTGCGGAAAAAGGTGTGGAGAGTCTGACTGATGGTAGTTTCTCAACTGGCGATTGAACCGCATGCGATGGCAATGGTCCGGCAGTTAAGGGAAGAATCCAACGAGTCCCCCCGCCCTGCCCTTCCCGGGTAAGTCGGCCTTTGACCCCCAACAACACGGACTAGTTTAGTCGAAACGGAGGTGAGCTTCAGTCGGTGTGGGTAGTAATGCACTCAGCCAGCCGTCGGTTGGAGTTGAGCATCGGAGCCCTGGTGCCCTGTTGTTTTTTGTCCGGTCTGGTTAACGTGGCGCTCAGGCATAAATTACTTTTGAACGCGTCGGTGCTCGCGAAAAAGATGTCCGCCTCAGGAAACATTGATTCTTACCCAAATTGCCCCACCCCAATTGTTGCACTTTTGGACCAGGCTCGGTGGATCGACTACCTTGTGCTCCGAGGATGATGGCCAGGACGTCAGTGACTTGCTCGTCGTGAAGTCTCCTGGCAGCGATCAACGTGACGTGCTGGCGGCCGCTTCCGCACAGACCGCCCCGTTTGTCGATGGCAACGGCGACAGGTGACACGGAACCTGAACTCTGGGAGTGGTCCTGATGTTAGATACAAAGTCTCGGAAATATCTGTGGCGGCAAGTAGTATTTCAGCCTGCGCAAACAGAAACGTGTCTGGGACTTTGCTCCTGGTTGATGCTGTGTGAATGAAATCTGAATCGGATTCTGGTCCAACCTAAGCCGAGGTCCCGTCGATAGTAAACCAACCACCCTCCCACTCCCCCTCTCTCGGTGGAAGCAGCCCGAACCTACCGGTCGTGCTACCACCACACGCGGCCGCTGAGAAGGGCCCTGAACAAGACGACGGGCCAGAAGGCACAGAAGTGGAGTCACAGCGCCTCCCCAACCAGGACGAATCATCTACCGAGGGAGATCATCCCGAAGAAGAGGCCATGACGAACGGACTCTCTCGCCCGTCCTCCTCAAGCCGGATCGGAGCGCGCCATGTTGCAACCCATGACGAGCCTCAGATTTGTGGCGATTCAGCGCCTGGAGCACCCGCTTCGGCTGCCTCGGACATGTTGTCCTGGGTGGAATACAAGCACCTTGGCATTGCTGTGGTCGGGTTGTTGCTGTTGGTTCTTACCGTCAAGAGCATGGTCGAGATGAAGGTGGTTGCTGTGGCCATGCTGGCGATGTCGCTGGCTCGTGGTCGGGTGCCGCACGGGCGCGCGGCGGAGCCAAGGCGCCGGCACCCCTCCCGCGTGGGGCGAGTGGTGCTTGTGGTGAAGATCGCCATGGTGGATGGCCCGAGGGCGTTGGTGTCGTGGGTGTCAGATCGTGATTGGGTGAGGTCAACTTCCTCTTGGACGGGGGGCATCTGCACGTACGTCGCATTGGCGGCGTTCGGAATGTTGCGGTCAGACGTCACAAGCAGGATCAAGAACTGGGTGGCTTCGGTGCTTACCGGGGGGTTCTCGGTTGTTCGGAACCAAGTGTCACGAGCACGGGCGGTGGACTTACTGACCTGGCTCTCTATCGTCGAGGAGACGTGGATGTCTCTTTCGGTGGTGATCCTGGCGGCCACGTCGAAGATCACGCCGATAGATGAGTCCAGCCCGTACATGAAAGTGATGTCAAAATCTGATATGGCTAAGTGGAATGCTTGGTGGTACGACTACCGCTGGGTGGTTGTGGGCATGTTGATGCCGCTCTTTCTCGGCGTCATGAGGATGGTCACGAACGACATCATTTCTATGACGATGCTGGCGATGTGCCGAGTTCGGGGTCGGTTGCCGCAAGGACGCGCGGCGACGCCGTATCACTGGCACACCCTCCGCCCGGCGGTGGTGGCAGTTGTGGCGAAGATCGTTGTAGTCGATGGCCTGGGGGGGCTGGTGTGGTGGGTGTCAGAGCAAGTTGCGGCGAACTTTGTGTCTGGCTGGAGGGAGGTCTTATGCTGGTCGGTCGTGCTGGGTTCCGGGGCCTACATGCGCTCGTATACTCTTGACGTCATAAGCAGCATCACGAACGGAATGGTTGCCGTGGGTACGTGGGTATACTCGACCGTTTTCCACCAGAGGTCGCCTGGGCGCGGGGCGGAGTCACCGCGTTGGCACCCCTTCCGCGCGGCGACGGCCATGTTCACTGCAGGGTTGGTTGCGATGGTCGTTGACCGTATCGCTGAGACGGGTGGATGGAGCGCATCAGTGGTGTGGGCGTCACGCGGGGTCACCGTGTTTCGGAGTCGTCTGCCACTCACGTTTCAGCTGGTATCAGTCTCGTGGAAGACCTTGGGGGTTGCTGCGACTGCAGCGGCATTGATGGCCTGGGTGATGGTGGTGTACGTGGCGGCAGCTGGGCTTTTCTTCGTATGCACCAACCGCATGACATTTCCGATTCGAATTCTTGTCTGGATCTTCGAGCTCTACGACAAGTGGGGAGAACCCAACACCGTTCAGGTGCGCAAGTGGCGACGTGTCGTTGGACCACGTCCGATCACCAATAGGCCCTAAAATCAAAATCACCGGTGTTTGTTGCGTCTCCACGTTCGAGACGAGAAACATTAACGGATCGGCTACAGTTCGCTGTAGAGACGTGTACGTTCCAGACAAGGATGATTCGCACGACAGAATTCTATCACTCACTCCCACAATCAACAGTCGGTGGTATTCCGTGTCTGTGTCAACCTTACTAGAATATATTGGGATCGCTCTCGTGAAACGTGAAGCGTCGATCGAGGCCCAATGCCTTCGTTCGCCCCCCCCATCGAGCATGGGCAATCACCTGGACCCGTGTGGTACACTGTCTATCGCTGATGTACCTTACCAAACATTTGGGCTATTGTTATACCATGAGCAAATTTGTTGTCTTGCGCTCCAAGGATCTTGCGCGAACCCACGTGTGGTTCGTAAAGACTCGAGTTCTGGGAAGCGCTGACTCCGAGCACAAAAAGGGACGTGTGTTCTACGATGGTGATCCCCAGTCACTCTCGTTCCAACCATCGTCGGGGCTACACTAAACACCGAATTTTCCCACTCCCCTCGTGCCACCTGTTTGTTTGGCAGCTCCGCGACGACTTGGTCGACAGGATATACCTCATGCTCGTCCTCCCCCGACGTCTACGTTCCTTTGGGTTAGCCTCCTCGTTTGGGTGGTCGCCATTACGGTCGATAATGTTGTCGTTGTTCCCGTCGTCGTTGCTGGTGTTGGTGTTGGTGTTGGTGTCGTTGTCAATGTCGATGTTGGTATCGATGTCGATGTCATTGTTGCTCGTTCATGCCGTCGGTCTGGTGGATGTCTATTGCGTTGTCGTCGTCGCTTTGGTTGCTGCTGACTGGTGCCACGGTTGTGCATGGCCCCAATACTTCGCCTTGTCCACGTACATGCCTCACCCGCTTGAATAGCCAAAATCCAAACGCCTCAATGGTACTTCCACCAAAACCATGCAAGAACAAAGAGATGAGCTAGATCGCGCCGGGAGCTGTTCGAACTCGGGCGTATTCTAGTCAAACCAACATGCCGGCTACTCTCGACAAAGTTGGTGTTGTCTTTAGATTATTCACAAAGACGCACGTCAAATACTACAACTATGATCCGACGCCCTCCTGTTGCGCTACTTTTCTCCCGCCTCCGTCAACTGCCTCTATGAAGCTTGGACCATCTTTGCGGGAACATCAAGCTGGCTCTTCGCGTGGGGTTGCACCGCAACGTGCTGTGCCATGCGCACGGTACCGACGCAAGCCTGAAGGCCGCGCTCTTCTCGGTACTCTCTCGACTTGAACCTGGCGACAACTACACGCAGGTGTGTTGACCAATCGGCGAATTGCGTTTCCTCACGGGCCGAACACGGTAGCACATTCAAGGAGAACAACGTTGTACCCAAGCGCAACTTTCACGGCAGTTTCCCAGAGGAGATACCCCCGCCACTCCCGCTGTCCTGGCTGGCTACGTCCTTTCGCTCAAGTGCCCCCCAACAACCGCGCGCACCCATCCGGAGCCCTGTCCTTTCTTGTGTGCCAGGTTTTGGTCGTCGCGCGGAGTTTTCAAGACGAGTGTGATCTCTCTGTGCTTTTCCACAAGTTCGCCGCGCTTACCGACACACCCATGACGGTGAGTGTCTCAAATTGTTGGCACTACCACAAAGGATGGATTCGTAGTTCGCGACTAACCTATTGTGAGTGCAGAAAGTAGGTCACGGGAACGGCTCGGCGCTTCCTCATGATTCCAAGCGCTTTGACATGGTCACGTTGGTTGTATATTTTGTCTGTGGGCGTGGGTAGCACTTCGTCGCCGGAAGAAACGCAGCTGTTCTTACCCCCCCGACAATAATCACGTGCGGTGGACACGGTGACAGGTTTCCATGGCGCTCCATTCCGACTGGCAAGAAGAGGTGCGAGCGCAGGTGGTCATCGGCACTGCCTCGACCCTGTCCATCCTTCTGGACAGAGGCGTCCTCGACCCGTCCAACGTGACAGCTTTTGCGGTTGACCTCGGCAATGACGACTCGTCGGTAAGAGTTCTACAGCAGCATCAGGGCCGAGACCAATAACCATGCGTTGTTTGGCATTTTTTGTATTTTGTGGCATGCTTTCGGGGCCGCGGGGGCATGGGGAAGAGCTGCAATACTCAGGCAGGCGTAGGTTGTTCGGTACTCTCGGGTTGCACCGACGTGCTTTCTGTGAACGTACCTGGCTCACAGAGAATTTTCTTTGCTGGAAAGAACCCACCAGGCGGAACCAAGAGGAATGCTTGCGTTCTGCGAAACTACGAAATCATCCCGGTGGGAGCCGGCGAGTTGTTGCAAGCAGAGAGACATTTCGGGCACCAACAGAATATATGCAGGATACACCACGCCCCCCACCCCCCCGGCTGCAACTAGGCCAGAACCGCTTTCGCCCCGAAGGCTAGGAATCGAGCAGTGTCACAGCACAGGAACAACAGCTACGGCACCAATCTTGATGACTGTCAGTACGAAAGTCGCGGGTTGCTGTGTGTTTGCACCGATGGATAGGCGGTAAAGGGGAACTTACAAACGCCGTTCCGGGGCTTACATGACGTAGGGGGCACAAGTCTCGTATTTCCACGACGTACGGGACTTATCGCGTGGTCAACGCAGCGTTTTCCCTACCTTCTACCACGTTTTGGGGGGAGAAAGGGTTGATCAGTTGTTGAGGGGACATCCTCGGCCCTTTAGATGGTCCCTTTCTCTCTCGGTACGTGTGTGGCACCTGTCTCTGTTTATGATTCGCGTGACACGGAAATACGTTAGCCTTCGAGAGAGCATTCTACATCACGAGCAATTCCCAGCCCCGCTGATCATAACGTAAGCAGCAAGCGCAGTTGAACAGCTTGACGGTGTCCCACCGACCAGCTGACGAAGTTGTCGGGAGACGAGTTAACGCAACATCGGCAGTTGAAAAAATCGCGCAACGCATGCGTGCATGCTGCCGTGCCCTACCCGACCCCTCTATCCTAGTTCTGCCAGAAGAAGCACATGGCGATCATCGAAGAACCCTGCCTGTCCATCAAGCGCATGCTGCCTGGAACGTGTCAGTCAATGGTATTTGCTGGCGGCTATTACAGGTTTGAGGAAGATGGAACGCTACCGTGACAGCTTGTCACCGCGCGCGACGTTGAGAGTGTACGCATCGCTTGCGATTCGGGTTGCCCTTCGATGTTCAAGTTCCCATGACGAAGTACTCTTGACAGTGTGACCACGATAGCCGCCTTTGGGGTGGAGGTTGGCGGTCACACCAAATGTAATCACACGAACTTGTCGATATTCGTATTTCTGGCAAGTTTCTCGCGTTTCCAGCCTCCTTCGAGTGGAAGACACTGCATCCCCCCGTTTGTGCCATCCCATCGATCTTGATTATGGGCAATGATGGACAGCCCACAAGCCTTGGTCTAGCCGGCTTAGCATACGGCAGCGATTGGCCCCCTTCTTACCCGCTCTTCCGTTCCCGTGCCGGTTCACCGTCATGCCTCTGACATCGTCTACACTCGTCCTTGGCATCCCGGCAGGGGGGTCAACCACTTTGCGACCGGACTCGCGCCCTCACCTAGCGTGTTTCGAACCCTCAACCTCAACGCCAGGCCGGTAGGTCCCGTCACCCTGAAGCCGATGCAACGGATAGGGTTCGTACTCATGCAGTTTGTCGGCTCAATGCTCCATTCTCCTGCAACAACCACGTCTTTCAATATGTGGGTCTAGCTGCAAACAACGTAAACAACGGCGAACGCCTAACCAGAATTGGTACGCAGCCTCGACATGTACCTCATCGTTTGAACGTGCGGTACGCATCAATGTTTCGAGTACGCGTTACGCCTAGCGTAGGCGTTCCAAACCACCCTGGGTTACACTGTTGCGTTGCCTTGGCACCACATCGTCAGGAATCATGAGTCGGGAAAGTATCACAGCTTTGTGAGCAAGAAAGGTATATTGCTGTTGGATCATTACCCCCTCCAAACAAACCTCTGCAAATTTCGTGTGTGCTCTTCGCTGACCAGCTCCAAGAGGAACGCTACTCGTCAGCGAGGGCCCTCTTCTCAGTGTGGGCCTTCACGGCTCTCTGCTACGCAGGATACTGGGTGCTGCCCCTGGCCTTCCCTTCCTTCACCTCCTCCGCCACCGCCTTCCTCTGGGAACTCTTCGCTGCACTCGGTCGCGTCACGGTGTCGACGGCGGGGCTCGTCGCCACCCTTTTGTGTGGGCTGTCTGCCTTGCTCGTCCACGCGACGACCATCATCCTGGCGCTTCCCTCCTTCACTGCCGGTCTCCTGGCGGCGACCGTGGGGCTCGTGGGCAACCTTCTGCGTGGGCTGTTTACCTCGCTTGTTCATCCGTCGACCGTCATCCGGGTGTTCTCCTCCTTCGTTGGCGGCCTCCCGGCGGCAACGGCGGGGCTCTTTGCCACCCTTTGGTGTGGGCTGTCTGCCGTGGTCATTCACGTGATGACTATCATCCGGGTGCTTTCCCCTTACGCCGGCGGTCTCGCGGCGGCGACGGCGGAGGTGGTGGTGATCCTGTCCCAAGCGCTGTCCGCCGTGGTTGTTCCAGCCACTGCCACCGTGATCCGTGGGCTGTCCGTCTGTGCCTGTGGCCTCGTGGGGTTGCTGAGGATCGTCGTCAGCCTGTGGTCGGAGCTGGCCATCACCACCATGGCCGGCAGACTGCTGTGGATCCTGGGGCGGCAAGAGCAGATACTTTCGACACCGGCCACAGCGACCTTGGCTGTAGCTTCTCCCCGGGCGGCAAGCGACGCCACCAACGCCACCAACGCCTGTGTGCCGAAGGAAAAGGTGGACGGGAGTGCGGCAAGCGACGCCACCGACGCCTGTGTGCCGAAGGGAAAGGTGGACGGGAGTGCGGCAAGCGACGCCACCGACGCCTGTGTGCCGATGGGAAAGGTGGACGGGAGTGCGGCAAGCGACATCACCGACGCCTGTGTGCCGAAGGGAAAGGTGGACGGGAGTGCGGCAAGCGACATCACCAACGCCTGTGTGCCGATGGGAAAGGTGGACGGGAGTGCGGCAAGCGACATCACCCACGCCTGTGTGCCGATGGAAAAGGTGGACGGGAGTGCGTCAAGCGACATCACCAACGCCTGTGTGCGGATGGAAAAGGTGGACGGGAGTGCGTCAAGCGACCTCACCAACGCCTATGTGCCGATGGGAAAGGTGGACGGGAGTGCGGCAAGCGACATCACCAACGCCTGTGTGCCTAAGGGAAAGGTGGACGGGCGTGCGGCAAGCAACATCACCAACGCCTGTGTGCCGATGGGAGAGGTGGACGGGAGTGCGGCAAGCGACGCCACTGACGCCTGTGTGCCGAAGGGAAAGGTGGACGGGAGTGCGGCAAGCGACACCAACGCCTGTCTGCTGAAGGGAAAGGTGGACGGGAGTGCGTCAAGCGACATCACCAACGCCTGTCTGCTGAAGGGAAAGGTGGACGGGAGTGCGGCAAGCGACGCCACCAACGCCTGTGTGCCGATGGGAGAGGTGGACGGGAGCGCGGCAAGCGACGCCACCAACGCCTGTGTGCCGATGGGAAAGGTGGACGGGAGTGCGGCAAGCGACACCAACGCCTGTCTGCTGAAGGGAAAGGTGGACGGGAGTGGAGCACCGGCCAGTGGCTCAGCTCTGCCAGGCCCTGGAAGCGCCTTCCTCGCCGAGAATTCGCCCCCTCCTCTCCTGCAATGTGCGCCCCCATCGGCCCCACAACCGAGCGTCAAGCCGCAGGGGAGGGTGAAAACCAGCAGCACCCAGACTGCCCCGAATGTGTGCGTCTGCCTGGATGTGGTCGCACAGCCGATCTCCAAGCCGCAGTGGAGCCTCGCCGCCAGTAGCACGCAGACACCAACCGCTCCCTGGGTATCGGCTCGCGTGCCCAGGTCTGAAAACGTGTACGTCTGACTGGTTGTTCTCCATGATCGATCTCGTTCATGCCCAAGAAAATATCTGACGGAAGGCGTTTAACAGGATACATAGTGCACGAGGTCTGTGGCGAATCATGTCCCGTGATGAAATCATTCCGTTGACACGGAAAATATTTAGGGCTCTCTTTTGATTGCAATCTGGTATTGCTCGGGCTCTTCCGGTACCCTGTTTGTGCCATGGGTTCAGCGAAAAAAGGATTATGCGGGATGCGCCATTTGGGAGTTTCCGTGGCGTACAATGAACGATCAGGTCTTCCTTAGAGGGTTGTACTGACTCCTCTTCGCTTCCTCTTAACCTCTCCCCCCCGGATTCGAACTTGGTCGATTCATCGCTGGAACTCGTCTCTTTACGTCAGGGGAATCACCAACGGCAGCGAGACCGTTTGCTACAACCGGTGCTTCTTAAACTCGGTTGTACAACTGCTGAGGGCCTCCCCCCGCCTCGTGAGCCTGCTGCTGCGAGAGGCGAAGGTTGGGCCTGCCGGTACGTGCCTTCCCCTGTGTGCGCCCACTTTTGATGATTGACGTATTCGTGCACGTTGTCCCCGACTGATGTGGAACAATAGCCCAGACGATCATTTGGAAACCATTGAACCGCACAAGAAGTAAATGTCCATGCTTCGCGTCCAGCGAGCGTGGAGGCACACCTGGGCGTGACCCGTCACAGGAAGTTTACCCAGGACGTCATCTTCTCTCTTACGTTCTAGGTACTGTTGGTGTTGTGGCCGTCGTCGTCATCGTTGCACTCGGTTTCCCGCAACACCTCGTCGTCGAGCTTCTTTGCCGTGCAGCCTGCACAAGTTGCCTGCTTCACTTGGGCTTTTAAATTGGTCGTGTTGAAACCCATGTTGTCGATGGCCCGGATAGCAGCTTGAACAATACGGCGAGCGAGGGAATAGTTAATTTCCGTTCTCGCGATGGTTGATTAGTAAACATTGATCGAATCCCCTCGTTGTTGCAATGAACCGTGATCCAGCACGACTGCTGGAGGGAGGACGCTTGTGGAGCGACCCCGCCCCTCGAACGTTGGAGGAGCTCCAAAACGACCTCCTCTACCAGCTGGCAATGGTTCTGAAGGTGGGCCCAAGGCGGGTAGTCGCGTGGTACGAGGTAATATGTGATCTACTAGATGCTTGAAGATGTTGTTGGGCTATGAGGGATCGCCAGATAGCGTGGTTCCTAACGTCAATGGTATGCGGGCTTGGGTGGGGACGGCGGAGCGAGTTCTTGAGATAGGAGAGCCAGCATGAAAATTTTCCTCGATGCAGAACCGTTAAAAGCTGGAACAACGAAGTTTTTGCCTACCTCCGGCGGTTCCCTCTGCTCGTTGTCCTTGCCGTGCCTTCGTAGCGTGACGTTTTGGCGCGGTTTTGTCCCGTGAACGACCGAAAATGTTCTCGGTGTTGTAAATTGTAAGACCGCCTCTATTTTCAGTTCCCACGTACTTGGAAGCCCCTGGCAACATTGCTCCGCCACCCACAGCATGTATCTAACCGGCGCCCAATCCATACATGAGACACCTCACGTTCACGTTCACGTCATGTTTCGTTCTACATGGTTCCCGCTCGGTGGCCGTAACGGCATTGCGGGCTGGCAGTTGCTTCCACGAGCAACCCATCCCCTGTCATCGATCATCGAAGGCCAAGGGCCTGCATGCATGTCCTACGCACTTTCATCGATTCGCACCGCAAGCACATGAGTGTGGTGGTGCCTCTGTTGCAGTCGAGGCGATCACTATAATAGACAGCATCGGAAGTTAGGAATGTAACCAGCGGCTGTCCTCCCACCCCCACCTATCGCCCGAACGAACGGCTGCCCTGAATACGAACAGTCCATGGAGGTGGGAGGGACCGAGCCCACTGCCATGAACAAGCTCGATCTCGCGACGCGGACGCTTCTTGCGGGGAGAGACAGGGCGAGTATTTAGGTCTGCCGTATGGCATGATAGCGCCCGAGCGTTGTCGTAACGGTAGGGTCGTTGTGAAGCCAGTGATAACTTCTTCGCGTCTTACCTTCGCCACCGAACGAATATCCGACTTGGGGTAATCGCAGGGTACTGTCGAACGATTCTCCTGGAGGTCTCCCAACTTTCCTAAACGTTTCCACGTAGTGGGTCGGTGCTTTCGACTGGAACTCTACTCTTGTCACGAGCAATTATAAAAGTCCGCCCCGCAACCTTGACTCGACTTCACGGCATTTTCCTCGAACCATAGTACTACTAGAGGCCACTATCAGCCTGCTCCCCCCGGTCTGATTCTGCGTGATTTTCACTCCCAGCCTCGCCTTCTGCGCATACCGCTACGCGTTTTTTGTGACCAACAGGGAGTCAAATTGAGGCGACAAGAGGATGCCGTCGAGACACTCCAGGTGTTCGTCGAGGCGATATTCTCCGTCTTCGAGCCGGAGGTAACAAAGCCCGCCGTGATGATGGCAACAGAGTACAGCAGATTCAGTAGCTCTTCGACCGTTCCTGCAGAAGATTGCAACGGCACTGATCGGAAAGGATTCGCCATCCTTGCTTTTTCGAGCGGATAATCGAAGTGTTGTCGCCTTGTGTGAATGAGGACGCTCCTCGACATTGAGAATTACTCCAGACACTTGAGTGCGGCGAGTGCAGCGAAACACGCAGCACCACCGGTTAAACGGTAGAATGCTGCAGTTGCAAGGTACCCATTGCTTCACACGGCTTGCATGTAGGCACAGTCGAACTTCGGGTACACAACTGTTTCATTGCTAAAAAAATAATTTCCCTAAGCCGGGGAAATGTCCATACGTTTGATACCCCTCCTTATGTTGTACATTATGCGGGCCACCATGCCTGTGAAGAAGGGAGTTTCCTTAATATTGGTGTCCTTATGCGAGGCACGACTGACTGTAATTGGTGCCACGAACAAGAGCAAATGTTGCCTGTTGTTTTCAGGAGATCTCCTTCATGGACTGTGGTGACTTCGTCCACGCCGGCTGCCACAACGACGGCTGCAACCCCGTGAGTGGTTACCGTTGGAAGTGGTGTTGCCATATTGTCTTTATCCTCTTTTCGTTCCGATAAGTGTCACCACTGCGACGAACAAGTCGGGCGCGGAACGTGGTGACCACAAGTACCAAAATACCCGTAATTCTGTACAGCAACAGTCGAGGTAGGGTGCCTTCGGCATGTTCAGACCCTTGCAGCACGCGCCCTCAAAATGAATCGGTGAACGTAGCAGGATCGTCACTCTCTCGGTAATGACTGCATGTCTCAGATTGACCATCCTTAGAGATGTCTCTCCCAAGGGTGGCAATGCCAGCCGCATTTGTTCTCGTCTAAATGTCACCGCTCGAGGTCAGAAACGGCGCGTGGGTACACAAAATGGCGGGATAAGCATGCGACCGAACGAAGTAGTTTGTGCTTTATCCCAAGGTTCGTTTCGCGACTGTTTCGTGACCGATCATACAATAGTTCCGAGGTCCGGGGATAGTACCTGCGGCCAGCGACCTCTTGGTTAGCCCGGGCCGATAAATGACCTGCGTGCGAACAAGGGAGTTGGATCTCGACCCGGTGTGATGCCCGGAAACTAAACTCAAGTGGTTCCTCGGTGCCTGTATCCCTGTGTGTCGCTGCAGATCGTCCAGCTGCGATTCCCAGGGGTTCTGCCCGTGGAGCCCTTGAAGGTGGACTACACCAGCGCGAGAGATGTCGCAGAGCTGGAGGAAGACTTCGGGGAGCTTATGCAGGGGGTGAAGGACAGCGGCAAGACCGAGCTCTCCTTCCTGCTGAACAACGTGCGTTTACTTTCCCTCTGCTCGACGACGTACGTAACCTGACTCCCAACCCCACCCGCTTCACAGAAAGGCGTAGAAATCGCAAGCAACACTCCACATCGTCCTTGCACATGCCAATCTCTTCTTCCAGAGAGACGCATTCATCTACCCTGTAGCCCCGTGTTAAGAGGGGGAAGAACGTCCTGAAACCTTCGCAAATGGTGCCGTGAAGTGTACCGGTGTTTTTGTCACAGGGGGCGTGCTAACAAGGACCAGGGTCGCTTTTCGCGGAAACCATGTTCGGTATACCCCGAGCGGGTGCGTCCGTTCGTCCATGACGGACGGTGTGCGGTAAAATTGAGAATACTACCCAGAGAAAATACTACTGGTACATGTTACTACGCAAAGATGATAGACAAGGGGCTACATGACACTTCGATGAAACAATTCATCTGAACCATTTCCACGGATTATCATGCGCATGGCCTGCGTTTCGCTCTGCTTGGCACGTGTTATATGTCTTCCCCAGATCGAGGACTGGGAAGGTTGCGCTAGCCACGCCTGCCCTGCGTTCTACCACACGGAGGTTGGTGACACCATGGCCTTCCCTGATTTTCGCTCGGGCCTCCTCGGTGGTGGAGGGAAAGTAGAGAGCTTCCCCGCTGCCATCGGTCGGATTGTTGGTACATGGCCGATCTATTGGTTGTATGAAACATCGAAGGTCTCCCCCAACGTTCCTAGGCATTCTGCAGGCGCGACGCACCCTGAGGATCCTTATGTTGGGGGTGTCTCATGGTACGCCAGCGAAGTCTGTGGCGATGAGAGGCGTTTGAACCTCGCTGCGCGAGAGATGTTCTCAAATCTTTGTAGGCGTGACGCGCTACTTAACATTCGCACATCTTGCATACCACAGGAGAAGAAGACGCTCCAGCTCGGGACTTCGCCGCAGTCGCTCTTGGTCCCGATATTTCGGAACGTGACTGGGTGAGACTTCAACCTCCCATGCGGTGCACGGCGTAGTGTGCATTCAGCAGTTCGTTGCACAATCTTGCCACCAATCATACACCTGCACCGACATGCTTGGATGAACGTCGCCTCAAAAGAAGGTTCCATTTGTTGGAAGTCGAGAATATTGAGTTAATAGGCTATCAGTATCTACCACCTAGCGACGAGCTTGCCGGAAATTCATCGAATAGCCTAGCTTCAGCCCGACTACCGTGATGGAGCTTGAGATACTCAGGGTTTGTGTTTCTGTGGTGATGCTTCAATTAGTGTTCTTGCATGCTTTCTTCCGCACTCTCGCTGATGCTGCACGCCAGACAACCCCAAAATAGAGATTGTCACCAAGGGTGACTGTCCGTCTTGGCATTCTGTGCATGCATGCTCACAGACAGGCAGGATCTTTGAGGCAAGCGCCGTAGTGATGCACACTGGTTTGAGATTCACGAAAGGAGCCATGCAAATATTGGGTGATGCCCCTTGGCTGACTCACGACTGACCTTTTACCCTCTGGTTGGTATTCCTCACACAGGCAAATAGCAAGTTCGTTTATTGTGACTCTCATGTTGTTGTTGTCGTTGCTGCTGCTGTCGTTGCTGATAGTGATGATGATGGTCGGTTCCCGGCGCTATTGTCGTTACCACTATCTTCGTCGAGCATGTCGCCATTGCTTCGCTTTCACGTTCGGAACGTGTTTCGCCAGGTCCAAGATCACCAGGGACGTGACATTCCCCCTGGACGACTTGGAGCTGATCACAACCGAAGCCCACGGCACGCGTGAGTGACGCCCCTACACACCTCCAACTTCGTGTTTTATGGCCGACGATCGAAATCACACATACGTCCGCAGTTACATCCCGCGAAGGGCCGTGCGAACCCCCGGTGACTTCCACCGTATGGGCGGGCGGGGATGCGGGGGTTACCCTTCAACTTGCCTGACTGGTCCGCATCCCGCTACTACTGCTGTAGGAGTACACTTTCCCCAGGGGTGGACGCGACCGACCAGCGCTACACGTAGCGCTCCCCGATTTTCCAGCTCTTCCCGAAGTCGAAGCCTGTTGGTTTCAGCCTCGTCCTGCAGCGTGAACTGACGACTATTCCCCTTTCCCTTCGCCGTGTTCTCTGTAATTTTTTGCTTGAAACGCAACACCAACTCGCCAGCAACAACGACGCACTACATGGCGGTCGCCGTCATGCAGCACTGGGGTCCCCACTGCACCAGCGGCCACAACGTGACCCTCGTGCGGAAGGACTCGAATGCAGGGTCCGAGTGGTGGCTGTGTAACGACGAGGACATCCTCTCGGTCTCGTCCGCTTGTGTCGCTCGGAACGCCGTGGCGGTCTTGTACCGCCGGGTGCCAGATTCCTAGGTCTCACTCCCGTACCGTCAGATTTGAAATCTACGTGTATCGCCTAGAACGGTTGTTGCGGTGCGGTGGGAACTTGGGTCCCACTTCCACGAAACGTCAGAAGTACTATCTATGGGAGTCTGAAACGGTAGTTACGGTGCTGCGGGAGCTTGTGCATGGTTCGAAGCGCACATACCCTGCAGAAAGGTGCTGACGTTGGAGCATGGCTTTGAGCGTAGCGAATCTTGTTGCGGGGAAGAAAAACGTTCATTCTTGACCGGGGACTAAATAGTAGTTCAACAGAAACACGGGATGTGGTATAGTGTTGTCTGACCAACTCCACACCTGGCGTACGTGGGTGATTGGTTTTACGCGGACACCTCCCGGCAAAGAGGATCTCTCCTCGGCACAGTGGTGGTGCTTGGAGATGTACGGTTATTGAGCAGAGGAAACCTACCAACTATAGACGTGTGGCACGTATAGTTAGTTCGTGTGTTTGATAGGGGGGAAGTCACTCGTACGACGCCTCCGCGTGGTTGTGCTTGCCCCGTCGTCTGTTTGTGTTTTTGTACTTGTACTTTTGTCTCGTTCGCCGATGAGAACGCAAACTCCAAAATTCGTGTCAAACCTATCCAGATTGAGTGTTGGGATCAACCTCTCTTGGCTTTCAACTCCAGCGATTTTTGCTAGGGAGTGGGGGGGGCGCTGCATCATTTTCTCTGACGTTTTCGCGTTGTTAGGTTTTTTGTTCGATCATGAACAAACGCGTTCAGACGCTGCTTGGACCCGACGGGCAACCGTGCACTAGGAACTCACAGAGAACATTGCCTCGGCGGGTCGTGCCGTAGCCTCAATGGGCCACGCCCCTCGTGCAGCGCCCAGGTGGGGCGCGGTGCAGTGCTTGCAGTTGAGGATTCAGTCGCGCCTGTCAGAGATGAGGCTCGATTGTCGGGAGTGTTGAAGTTGTTGTGCTCAGTGCAATTCTTCTGGTCACGAATTACATGGAGTTTCTCTTGGTCTTGTGAGATGTTTTGTCGGACAATCGTCCATGTCATAGCTTAGGTTGTTCTGTGGGCACCGTGGTGTGCCACTCCGGTGTGATGCAGAGCTGGGAGTATTTGGAACGGTTCCCAGATCGATCGTAACCACCTGCTGGAACTGTTGAGCACGTTAGAGCTGATTTCCGTGTTGGGTGTAACAGGCGTACAAAACCTCCCCCAGACGGGCTTACCATTCGTCCGGTGCTACGTTTGGTGGTGATTGACTTGTTTATCTACAAAGGTCGTGCTGTATCAAGCGTGCCGTGTGTATGTCGAGAATGGTTCGTGTGAACCCGAGGGCATAGCTGACTGAGGGATGGATGGATGCAGAGTAGTCTCCCTTCCAAAGCACGGGATGCGTCATTTTCCGTGTTGTACACACTTGTATGTGTCCGTATTGTGTCCCAGTTTTTCTGGTGCCTGTCATACCACATCGAAAGAAGGTTTACCATGTCCCCTTATTGTATGCATGTGTCCCAGTTTATTCTGGCGCTAGTCAAACCACATCGAAAGAAGGTTTACCACGTTCTCTTGTTGAATGTGTGTTGTGTCCCAGTTTATTTTGGCGCCAGTCGTACCACATCGAAAGAATGTTGACCATGTTACCTTGTTGAATGTGTGTTGTGTCCCAGTTTGTTCTGGATCCAGTCGTACCACATCGAAAGAAGGTATGTGTAAGGGTTTTCTGATTTAAGAGCCTGGATCACGAAAAAAAGAGGTTTTACTTTGAGTTTGTTTTTTCCCGCCTTTCCTCCTGCGATGCTTGTCCTTTCCCGTAACTGTGCTCGTACAGTGCTTGCCTTAGTAGGCAGTTTGTTAGCGGGTCTTTTAGTGGCGACACAACCGCCCGGTGGGATGGCAATGGCAGGAAGTCCCGCCCGTGGGATAGTAGTGGTAGGAAAATCCCGCCCGTGGGATGGTAGTAGGAACGCCCCCCCGTGGGATGGGAATGGAAGGAAAATCCCGCCCCAGGCGATAAACGTATTGAGGCATACCATCAGCTTGGATGCGAAATGGAATCTACATTGCTCGGATGGTAATGGAATGAGATGGGAGAGGGATTGTGTGCTACGCTGATGGGGAGGTATTGGTGAATCCTTGTTCCTGGGATGGGATGGGAACCGCCAGATGTTTCCATGGGATGGGATGGTTGCGTCCACGAGAGTATGAGGTCTTCACCTGGTGACGATGATGATGGTTTGATGTGTCAAGGTTTGCCGCCGTTCTTGTTCATGGCGAGGATAGTTCATACGGCACACACCTCCTCCAAAACTCCACGTTATTCTGCCAAAAGAACACAAAAACCGTGTACTCGACGGGCTGTTACTTTCTTACCTCTTGCTCGGTTGCCTTCCCCGTTACTTAACAAAGATTCGCACACAACTTCAAAATGACAACGTGCCCTCCCCCGAGGAACCTGAGCTGTAGACTGATCTGATGTAGAAAGTCCATCATTGGCATCGCTTCTAGTGTCGCCGCCATTTTTGGCTTGCACACAGAGAGAGCCGGAAGGGGCGGAGGGGCGCCAACTACTGTATGTTTGTTTGCAACGGGGGTCGGAAATCGTCTATTTCCGGTACCGGGTGTATTGTAAGATCCTGGAGAAAAAAAACGTTCGGCCCCTCCTTTCCCTCGGCGACCGTGAAGTCGAAGTGTGTAATCTCCATGTACTCACCAACTAATCGTTTCCACATCAAATATTTGTGATAAACAACGCGACGAGTATTCGACGGCGTTTTTTTTGCGGGTTTAATTATACCCGATAATCAGCGCCTCGCAAAACTACTTTATCTATCTACATCATCAACCTACAAAGTATCATCAACACATCTATTTACATTTGTTTCAGGGTACAATGTACCAACAGTGGACATTTCCGTGGGAATGAATGAGTTGGACTGCCGTCGAGAGCGTGACGTAGGCGAGATACTCATTAACACATTATCACAGAAGACTTTGTGAAAATGAGTATCGATATGCTCCCGTGTGAACTATGGTATCAAACCAGTTAGAATACTAAGTATCAACCGAGCCTGACACGTGATACTGAGGATGAGGCCAAGTGATATACTTGAGTGCAACTGAAGCCTCTGTGAAATAAGTGTCGATGATGCTGAGTATGAAATCATGTGAATCTGCGTAGCGAGCCAGTCAACAGTAAGTACACTCAGCACCAATGAAGCCTACCGTGTGATACTGAATATCAAACTGACAATGAGTATGAAGCCACGGTGATACTGAGCATCTGTGGTACTGTGACCGTGGCTTGAATAACCAATACCACATGACCTCATGCTCAGCATAATGGATACTCATTTCAGAGAGACTTCACTCTCAGTATCACTTGGCTCCGTGCGCATCACGTGATGGTTTAATTATGAGGTATCATTCGAGAGGACATGGTAGGATTGGATTGACACTGAGTATGGAGCCAAACGATACGGAGTATCAGGCCTGTATTGTGCGATGAGAGTAGAATGCTACAGCAGTAATGCTACGTGCCAGGGCGGGAGGGGGGGTACTCCGTAAACATAGTTGATTTGATGCTGAGTATGACAACAGCCGTGTGATACTGAGGGTCAAGGAAGAATGGGAGGACTGAGCACCGTCAGTGAGGTGAGCCCCCTAAGATGGTGAGCTGTGTGTTGATTTTTTGTTGCATAGACGGCGCTATTCGACTGATCAACGAAAATCAGTGTGTTTTGTGCCTAATCGCCCCGTAGATATATGTTGTGGCTCCAAGGCACCCTCTCTGTTGTACTTGGCTTTCCAGCCGGGGTCACAAGGGGGAAGAAAGGTCACGGCCATGTAGCCGGCGAAATGCCTCGAGGCTGGTGCGCAGATGGGATGGGTGTGACTTTGGAAGGATTGATTGGAGTTGGATACACTTTTGTGATGAGAATGATGGGATGAGATGGCATGTACTACTGTACGGCAGTGGGATTAATCTCCACACCGGACCGTGGGAAATAGAACGCCCGGCTGCTACAGAACGCCCCACCAACAATGAGAATTTATGATTTTGCCGAGCCCCGTTTCTTTTTGTTTCAATCGGGTTGTGACCATTTAGGTTCTACTGGAGGATTCTTGACTGAACACCTCCTCCTGTATGGCCAAGATTTGTTTTTATTTCTGATATATTGAGGATAAAAAACTTAACTGCAATATTCATAAGTGGTGGGGCGCCCTGTATTGCTAAGGTAACAAGAGAGATAGCAAGGAGGGGCCGAGGCATGGTAGGATGGGAGCAGAGGTGATATTGATCAACGACCTCTTTTCGATTAGCCCCTCCATAGCCTGTGGTTGCGCTCCCTAGTTTTTCCTATCCTAAAAAAACAGACCCTTGATGCCCACGACGCGGCGGACAAAGACTGGGACGTACAACAACACCTCGCGATGAAAGCCTCCAAATTCAAGGTCAACAGAAGTACAAGGAGAAGAGCCCAGATCGAACCCGTCTCTCCATGAAGCCATACCTCCTATCGTGCTAGCACAAAATGTGCCTATCTCTTAAACCACTCAGTCATCGTCCGTCAGTATCCAGTAGAATCAGGCGCACTTGGCGAGAGGGGGGTATGTCCCAGAGAGCTTGGATATAGTCTACAGTAAATGCCCGAAAAGTCGTATTTTTCCGTTTGGTGGGGGGATCTGACTCAAAATTTCATCTCCCCGGAAGGCAGCGCTTCGAAGAAGAGAAACCCAGTGCTACAATACCCTAGAATATCTGCTAGTCAGACAGGTGTCGGTTTCTTTGGATAGAAGCGGTACTCGTCCACATCCACGATCGTTTCTGCCGACTCTGCCCTCGGTGGAGCGAGCACCCTCGTCCTATCGTTCCGATTTATCCTCGCGCGGTCCGGCAGAAGTGCTCTTCGTGGTTGGCGCTGTTGGTAGCAAAGTGGCGCCCACTCGTCATGGCCGCCGCACTGGTTCCGATCCGTCTCGGTTGACACGCCCACCGCCGTACTATCTTCTAGACGACCGCTGCTGTTGCTCTCGAGGCCATCGCCCCGAACGGCTCCTGGCTCATCACGCAACGAGGGGAGGAGACCTTCCCATCTGTTCTCGGCTCGATGCCTCCTGGCGGTGCGCCTTTCTTCATCATCGCCGCCACCAGTCTGTGCCGTGCTGCACGCCGTGCGAACCAAAGGCGCCGCAATAGCGGCGCCATCCTCGACGCAGAAGTCATCGTCGTCACTATTTTCATCGCCATCATCGTCGTTTCCGCCTTGAATCGCTTCGTTCGGGGACGGACGGTGGGTACACCTCCGTACGACCGACGTGACGGCTACCGTCGCCGTGAAGACGAGGACCGCCGTGATGACCTGACGGTGATCAACCCATCCATCATCGGACGACAGTCTTGACAAAGTTTTCGTACCGAAGACGACGTAAACATATACCTCCATTGGATTCTTCTCTATTTACAGGTAAGAGTCGGCGATAACACGACCAATGGATTTCAGTCGAGTTTCCCGCGGAAACGAACGGGAGGATACTGCGTGGAGAAGAAGATGGTTAGATCCTCGCGTCGCGACAGCCGGGTGATGAGGGCGGGAAGGTGTTACGGCACGGTGTTCAATTCACCGGTTCTATCTTGAGTGGCCTGCGGCGAAGACAAGGTCTGTGAAAGGCAAACACGAGACAATAACCGGTACACGGCATCTATCAACCCTCCACGGCAAGAGGTATATGAAGTGACCGTAGCCTGACTACAACATTCAACCGTATCTCTAGATACCGCAAGCTTCATGGTCATATCAAAGCACCCTCCGAATGAGACAACTACCATTTACCATTTGAATTGATGATTTCGAGTACAATTTGTCGTCGTTGTTACTGTCATTTCTTGTTGTGTTATTCGTCGTGCAAGAAAATCATTAATTGTGTGCTCCGACCTCTGTGTTCGGTACCTTCAAATCAACCATAGGTCCTGGTCCAACGGACGTGTGTTGGGATCATAGTTAGTGCCTTCAGCGATGGGAAGCCCAGGCATCTAGACCACTCGCAGTAGTCCCAAAAATATATTCGACAAAAAACCTTCCGCGATGCCATGTGCTTTACGTATTACGGGCTGGGCTAGCCCCGTTGGCGTTCAACGTGGTGATGGTAATAGTTTCGCTTGCAAGTTTCGTGCCTTCTCCTCACTAAGCATGTCCAGACAGCTAATTGCTCACCTCGCGAGCAAGTTCCCATGCCTCGCCTTTGATATAATCTGCCAGATCGGAGGGTGAGACAAAAAGCATGGGAAATCGGCCAGCTTTCTTGGGGGTGGGGGGGGTGGAGAAAGGAGGCTGACTGCGAATGAATTACAGTCGAGTGATTGCTGCAGCGGCTGAGACCCTAATTGCGGACCAGTCGTCCCATTCACGCTCGACCCGTCTCCGTGGGGACTACATGTTCATATGGCAATGAACGAGGACTTCCCAGTCCACACTATAACATTCGTTCAAGGTGTGTTGACCGGTAGGGGTTATACTTGCAGCAATACTCCGGCAATCCAAAAGTGAGACACCGAACGCAAACTTACGAGGACACACGCCCGAAATTCTGATAGAAAACATCGCACTTCATCAGAAAGGAAGGGAAGTTGGGGCACAACAAAAACGTTCGCAACCCCGTACATGGTCACCGCGTAGCTTGGGGAACACCATATCTGCCGAGCGTGTTTCCAAACACCCACGCTCGAGTGAAGGCTAAATATCTTCTCGATGAAATCGAAAGAGAGCAGCCTATGCTATGTAGATTGCTATGAGAGCGTCGCCCCAAAGCTCACAGTAGAACTGCAGGATTTTCCCGATAGCTCGAAAGTATGGGAGCCGTTTTCCTAGATAGCATTCCGAACCAACCGTCTTTGCCTCCAAAGCAGTGAGCACGTACCATCGTCGCTCCCGCCAGGATCATCGCTAGAATCCCCTGCCAAAAGCCCTGCGTCAGGACGTTTAAACCAAGAATTGAGGAAGTTTTCGTAATGTGGCTTCAGAGTACTGATTTATGTTGGTTTCATGGCATTTTCATTGGCGAACTCGAGAAACCGCCTGTTACTTTGCGGGATGCAGTAACAGTGAACCCATACAGGTATATGCACCAACGATTCGTGCCAGCGCTCGAACCGTTTCCAACGACGCCAGCATGTGTGAAAAGTTCTTTCCGCTTCTTGATTCGCAGAACTGTCCATCCATCGCCAGTTTTACGCCGAGACGAATAATGAGGATACGAGGATTTCGAAGGCGCCTCGCCCACTCTACAGAAGTTGCCGTGACGCAAGAACCTCGTGTTTTGCCTCAGGGTCGACCTTCTTTCTCCTTGGGGGCAACGCGTATCTCGCCTTTCAGCAACACAGAATCAAGCTTGCCCCGTTAGGTTGAGGGCGTGGATAATACTGCCCATGTCATATCCTCAGCGGGTGAAGCGGCCTGCAGCCGCTTGTCCATCCGTACGTGTGAGCACAAGACACAGTAGTCAATTTGTGCACGAAATCAAGCGTCGAGACCCTCTCTTCACCTAGAGACTGGACGTTGAAGAAGAGTCGATCGTCGCCGACGTCGAGCTTCATCCCGTGAGGGGAGGCATAGCGGTTGACCAGCGTGTATTCGTTGAACGCTACTTCCTCGGCACACCTGCCCCAGTTGTGCCGATGGCGTCACCAATCAAGAACGGCTTGTTTTGGCAGAGGTTCGAGTTTTGTTTGTAGTTCCACTATCGGGAAACCGACACGGACTTCTCAATTCTTGTATTAATTTATTTTAGGGTGGGATATCCTGCGAACTCTTGTTGGAGATTAAATTGGACCCTCAAGGTTATGTTTAGCCGCCAAATTCTCCGAGTGGCGATGCCATCTGCAAAGAAAGAGGACCTCGAGGTTCTTGTAGTGTAAGGAGCAAAGAACCGCAATCCGTGGCCTCTCCTCGCAGAACCAAAAAAAAAGGTGACACTACAAGTCTGTTTCCCGGGAGAGGATACGAATCGAGCTTAAAATCGAGAAATTTTTCCAATGCCTCCCTCACCACGGCAAATCTCCCACGTTGGTGAGCCTCATCGCCACGGGGTTGAACGTCGCTGGAGTCCGCGTGGTAGCCCAGTCACCACCGCCGCCCGCTCCGGATGTTCCTCCGCCGCCGCCGCCGCCTTGTGCCGGTTCCGCCGCCAGGGTGACATTTACGACTTCTCCAGCGGTTTCGTCGCACTCGGACTCCGAGCAGAGCGAGGCCAGGATTTTGGTTGATGCCGATGACTCCCTCACCGCCGCCGCCTCCTCCTCCTGCTGCGACAGCGATGCTGACCCGCTAGGCGTTGCGCTATCGCACGGTTTTACCTTGATCTCGTACTCGTAGTCGTCTGCGGCAGCGGGGGGAGGTCGAGGGTTAATAGAGAGCTTTTGCTGTAGTTGCATGCATGGTCGCCGACATGCGTGCATCTTGCGGAGGGTCTGCGAAGAGGATCAAGGGGTGGGTGCCGGAAAAACACGCGACGCACATGCTTGCGTGAAGCGCGATGGGCTTTTCGTCTAGAGGCACCGCAGTCACCCGTGAGGAGAGGAGGTGAAAACAGGGGAGAAAGAAGACAACCAAACCATAGGTCGTGCTTGACAAGCAGTCGCTGAATAGGAGTCTGCACACGCAGAAACGATAGGATGATGCCTTTTGCCTCATCCCTACCTGTATCCGTCCCCCCCTGGTTTCCTCCGATCGTGATTCCACCCCTCCCCCGCTGCCGGTTCTTCATGTCCCCGTCCATGCCACGGGTTCAAACCGTTCCGTTTAACTTCCATGTTCCACCAAACGCTCTCTTTCGTTGCATCACCCCGCGACATTCCTCTCGCTGATTCTTCTGATGCCCAACCCCTTCGTTCTCTGGGGGTTCTTAGCTACTACTCACCTGACCCTGGCAGGTTGAAGAACCGCCACCTGCTTTGGCAGGGGTAGAACCTGAGAATCGTGCGTACCGACAGAGGTAGGCCATGAGAGGATGCTGTGTGTGCTGACAGAGGTAGGCCTTGAGAGGATGCTGAGGGATGCCAACAACAGCAGCGCGCTGCACAAGTGCGGTGCGGAGCTAAGCTTGTTGGCGAAGCAAAAACAGAACGCTACACCACAGAAGCCTCGCTACAGGGAATGCCCGTCTGTTCCTCGATGTAACCCTGTCCCTACGACTAAAGACTAAACGCGGGTTATTACTGCCACCGTGGGAAGCATTCACTCACCAGCCAGTGTCAAAGTGTACACCGTAATTGCAGCCTTTCTCTCCCAAGTCTCCATCGAGGTAGACCCTGGCCCCGCTACCGAGAAGGTTTGTCCCGCCGTTCCAAATGGCCTCGTCGAAGCACCTGTCAGGAGGGGAAAAGACGGGCCACGCCGGCGAAGCTGGATCTAGCTGTTACGCGAAGACGACCGAGTTCGAAGGCCATGTGTAAGTGAAGCAGAGATGACGTGAGGTGTCACAAGTCACATCGACCCCACCCAACTATTATCCCCAACCCTGACGAATTACCGCTCATCAAAGCTGCAGGTTTGCTCGATGTCATGCTGATGTTACCCCACAGTACTACTTCGACCCACCGTGTACCGTACACGACGTTTGTTTCAGGAACATATTGTCGTCGGGATGTTTTTCTGTGGGGAAGGGGGTGTCGTCGGTGACCCCACCATCTGAGAGTACTATAACGCTTTGAAGTCATGTTGAGCCGTGAAACGTTTGTCAGCGTGTGTGGTCAGTGGGACGGTATCTTTTGCGGGTGTGGCATCTATTGTGGAATACGATACGGTATGAAGGTCTGAGCACGCCCGAGCGACAGCGGGCGAAGCGGCTGGATGCCTTCATCGAAATCAACAAAAAAACAAACAATACATCCATCCCACACACCGCCACACAAACCGCAACCAACGAAGGCGAACCGGCACAACAATCTTGGGCTCAGAGGAAGCACCCCTCACCACGCGTCAATCCCGACTATGCTGATTGACATGGCCGTAGGTTCGTATGCGAGCGGTATCTCAAAGGTGGCCCGTGTCCCGATCTCTGCCAGCTCCGCCATGGAGTTGTACACGTTCTCCGGCCCCATGACGCAGTCGTCTCCACCCCCATCGCAGAAGGACAGGTGGACCTCGTCGAGCGATCCGGCGTTGGTCGCGTTGCGCGTTCTGACCTCCAACGTGTACGGTTGGATCGCAGCTGTGGCTGCGTGAACAAATGCCATTTTTGGGGGGGTCAACATTGAAGTAGCCTCTTCGCGAGGAAAACTAGATTGCTTTTAGTAGGGGGTTGGGGGTTGGGGGTTGGGGTTAGGGTGAGGGATACGAAATTCCCTCTCTATTTCGGAGATAAATGAAATGTCCTCCCGAAGGCGGTCCCAACGTGGGGATGAGCTGGGTGGATGTTGTACCGACTCCGACCTTGGGCATGACATTATCAAAAATGGAACACGGTTCGCCGGGCATGTGGTCTAACCTATCAAGCCATGCGCCGCATCGCAATATCGGAGGGGGGAGAAGAAAAAGTCAGAGAGGTCCTGTTAGGTCACGAGGGCGGTAGGACGGCGCGACAGGATGCCCGCGGTCAACCCCGTTAACAGACACTATAGTAGCTCGCTTCGTCCAGCAGCATCGTTCAAAGCGCACATACGGCTCATGCGCACAAACTTCCCTGCTTCTTCTTCGTTTCTCGCCCCGTTTCCGATCAAACAAGAGCACGTTCTGCGGATTGGCTACCCGTTTCTCAGGGTTAACGCTGTTGCCTGTCTGTCTGTCGTCGTCGTCGTCGTCATTAAAACATTCCATTGTGGTGGTTCTGCCGGGCGCGAAATCTCGGGGCGACCGAACCCCTCCCGACACACAACAACATTATCTGTGATCGACAGATCATCTATCGGTTTTCTCTCTAGGTGTCTAGACTCTAGGGTTAAAGAAAATGCCGCAACAGGACACTAGACTCTAGGGTTAAAGAAAATGCCGCAACAGGACATGTGAGGTGCTGGCGTTTGTACACAAGAAATTTATCCCTGAAACATGTCTTCCGATCACAGCAACAGCCTTTGAAGTGTTTTTCTCTCACCAGGAAATGTCCACCCAGCAAGCAGCAACAAAAGAAAGAGGCTCCCGGCCTTGACGGTTGCTGACACCCGGACGACGACACCACCGCCTTTCCTCGAAGCACTTGCCGTGTTCGCCGTTCTCGGCATGACGCAGGGGGGCGGCGTAATCGCCTTGCGATCTCCCATTATCGTCATCATATCATCTGATGCAAGCAAGAAAAAAAGGCAAAAAATGCTGAAAGCTGAGGGTATGCACTCGCGAAACTTGCAATCGTTTCGGCGGGATGTCGGAGTGTACATCACGGTCGTCGGTGCCTTGCGCATTGAACGCTGTGTAGACTATCGTGTTTGGTTGGGCGGTCTCCGTTTGTACGAGAGAAAAGCATTGCGCTGTTGTTGCTGAGTCCTGTGACTCTTCGCAGGGATAAAACACAAGACCAGTTTGTCTGGTTGCTTTTGCAAAATATTTTGACTCTAGGATTCCGGCTGATCATTTTCACGATGAGAAAACAACACTGGCGTCCGAAGCGCGGTGTTCTTACTTATGGCGACCTCCAAGTCTCCTTGCCTACTGAGTATTGGTATGTGCTTCGACATCACCGTCTTTGTCATGTACGCAAACAAACGATGTTTCTCACCCTATATCGCTTGGACATACATGGGTAAGGGACAAACCCATTGTTGCTGCTCAGGAGGAAATGCATACGTGGTCGAGTGTTCAATTCCCTTCCTTGACGATACATTATTCAGTACCCTTATTATTACTGTTTTCATCACCACATGACAGCATTTCTGTCAGGTAGGAGATCCAGTCCGCGGTCACACAGAAGGGTTTCTTCCTCCTGAAGCCCCTACCCATCCCTCCTGCGGTGCTTGCCTTCGGATTTCTATCGCGAGAACTGTGCATGTAGCCAAAAAGGATATGTATAGAATCTGAGACAACTCTGTCGAAATACCTTGTCCGCCTCACATGGGTTCCCCGTGAACGACGCAGGCATCACAATTTCCTTACCACTACTACACAGCAGTATCAACAGGCCGCATATTCGTCTGCCTGCACACAGCAGTTACCCTCTGGGAGGCATTACATATTTATTTATTTATATTTAAATGTCTTCACTTCAAATCAGCGCTCACAGCACCTGTGCCGTTTACTCCTATCCGTGGTCACACAGAAGGGTCCCTCTCCCTGAGGTCCCCTATCCACCCCTCCTGCGAGGGGTGCTTACGACTTGGTCAAAAGCAACGGTTGACGGGAATTTTCCATGGGACACTTCGTGGCTACACCACCAGGGCCACAGTACCCCGATGGATAAACTGCTGTGCTATTTTTACCACGTCTCAAAGCTAGGATATAACCCTCACCCCAACCCAACCGACCCGACCCAAACCTATGGCATTGGAAAGTGCTAGGTCACTGTACCAAGCAAGCCTAGGCCGCGGCAAGCCGCGGCAACGCTAGGTTGCTGCACGGTGAAAAAGCTAGGTTGCTGCACCGTGAAAAAGCTAGGTTGCAACTGTCCCGTTTAGGCTAAGCCGCGGCGCAGGAGGGGGTAAGGGCTAAGTTGCTGTCACCGTCAGGGCTAGGTTGCTGTACGGTGAAAAGCTAGGTTGCCGTACGGTGAAAAGCTAGGTTGCCGTGCAGGTCTGCACCTACCCAAGGAATGTTCCAAGAAATGGTATCCCGACATGGAGACCACCGTTTTCGACCAAGTCGTCAGCACTGCTGCCTTCTGCGGTGCCTTGCCTTCGATTTTTAATGCGAGAAGAATGCAGCACTCTCTTCTCTCTGTGTACACAACGAACTATGTATACGGTAGCGCTTTCCACCCAGGCCGCTAACGCAGGCGAGAGAAAACTCAATTTGCAAGAAGAGCTCAAGAAGAGCTCGCCTTTTACGCCGGAATTCGAACCCCTGACTCTGGCCACTACTATTACAGAACGCGCCACCACTTAAGAACTTAGCAGTTAAGAACTTGAGCCTCAAACAATCCAAAATCTAAGAACTTGGCCATAAGAACATATGCTCAGTTCCGACGTTGTATTATGAACAAGAACCCGCCCGGTGTACCAATGCGCATAGAGATAAGAACGGAGCCCCCAAACGCGGCGGCTGCAAGATAAGAACTCAGGAGGCTGGGGGTGACCCAAACAGCAGTCAGTTTCTGATTCGAGGCGGGGGGGGGGGGGGAGAAAGGACCCCCTGAAGAAATCTTGTACCCCCGGAGGGGGAAAACGTACTCTCTCTCATGTTTCCCATGCCTTAACGGTAGGACAATTGACCAACGTCTTCCAAAGGACGCATCCATGTTTCAACAGGATCCCTGATGCCAATCCTTCCTTCCCACTTCCAAATACTTTGTCAAACGTGGCCAAACCATGTTCTCCCTAGCCGATCTACCCGATATCGATATCACTTCCCGCCTTTTCAACCCACTTCCTATGCCCCAGTACAGCTACCATCGTTTTCCCTGGCTATTCCATGCCTCAAACACCTCCCTGTACCTTTTCTTCTACATGTCCAACTCAGTCATGTACCTTTCTCTGTCCTTGTCGCCCAACACGGACGTTTCGCAACGACATGAACCCGGTCTTCGCTCTCGGAGTCGCATTCACATTGAACTCGTCTTCATCGTCTACCTTCCTGAATCTTCGTCAATGTTCTCGAAGGCCGTTTTCCCCACTCCAAAATTTGACCTTGGGCTTTCTCCCTGCATCCATTGGTCCATGTAGTAGGTATATACCTTCTTTCAACATCCGTACACATGGAGACCCTCCTTATCCTTGGATCCTTTTGTTATATGGTGTTCTCTCTGGGCGAAAGAAGCTGATTTCTTGTTCTCGAACCCCTCTAGATCTACCGTTCGTTTCCAATGTACCAACCTAATCGATTTTGAACTCTTCCTACGCCGTCTACAACCTTAATCCACTCCCTCCGGGTTGGTACCTCCATTTTTCTTGTTTGTCCACTTCGCCTCCTAGGCTTCTCTCGGCAATCTCTCCTTTCCCACATCGTACAACATACGGCCTACCTGCCATTTTAACCTACTTACGCCTCTTCCCGATCGTAGGAGTTGGATCCGAAGGGGGGTGTACTCTCTCTCATGTTTTGGCAGCCTTACTTAGCGGTTAGACCGTTGACCACGCGTCCTCGACAGGACGGAGCATTGTTCCCACAGGTTCGATCACCGATGGCCAATCGTTCCTTCCTACGTTGCCAAAAAGGTCGCTCAAACATGTTTTCCCATCGGTATCACTTTCCGCCTTATTTTCAACCCATTTCCTATGCCCCAGTACAGCTACCGTCTACTCCTGGCTATTTACATTCGTCAATTGTCTTTCTTTCTGTACTTTTTCTTCTAATTTTTTTCCCAGCTAGCTCAGTCATGTTAATTTCCCTCTCCTTCTTGTACCACGGACATTCCGCAAGTACATGAAGATGGTCTTCGCCCTCGGAGCCGCAATCACACCTGGGTTTGTCGTCTTCATCGTCTACCTTCCTCAATCTTCGTCTACGTTCTCAAAGGCCAACATCCCCAGTCCTAGGTTTGACCTTCAGCTTTGTCTCTGCATCCACTGGCCCTCCATGTAGGTATTCTTTAAATATATCCCTTCTTTGATATTCCGTACACATCGAGACCCTCCGTGTCCTTGGTTTCTTTGGTTTGATCCTGTCCTTCTCTCTCGCCAAAGCAACAACAGATATCTTCTCCTTGAACCTCTCTAGACCTCCCCTCTCCAGTGTATCACCTTTGTCAAGTTGGACCCCCTTCCATGCGTCATCTACAACATTAACGCACTCCGTAGGTTGGTATACCAATTCTTCTTGTTTGTCCACTTCGCCTCCTAAGCCTTTCTCGGCAACCTCTCCTCTCCCATACCGTACATGCGGCACTGCCACCTAGGGGGCGATTTTACGGCTACATTGTACTCTTACAGCAGTAGTGTCTCGTGATGAAATCCACGCAGAAAGACCTGTCTGTGTCCTCTGCATACGGCAATCGGTATAGAAATAAGAACAAGAACCTCGTTTACCATAGGTGGATACCTGCTCCAAATAAGAACTTGGAAAATAAGAACATGTGCTCGGTTGGAGGTAACCAATAGTCTAAGCGTCGAGCCTCAAGCTAAGTAAGCGGTTCTTAAGTGGTGGCGCGTTCTGTATACTGACTGATGTTAGGTGTTCGAGGATACCAACTGAAGAAATCGACTTCCGGGGCGATACTGCGTGATGAAACAATTTTTCGTCCCCAAATCATCCCGAACTTGACAGAAATCTAGGAAGGAGCTGACTCTTTTGGCCTCTCTCTTCCGTGGACCTACAAGATTATTCTCATGCTCGGCGCGCCGACTTTGGTCATGAGCCACATGCGGATACTCCTCCATCGACAGAACAGCCCTGCCGTGTTGGTGTGCTCGACCTACTACACGTCGTTTGCCTGGCCGGGGAGTGGCTTGTGTTTGTTGCGTTCATCCGGACGTTGCCAAAACTCGCGCTGCTAGTTGCTGGTTTTAGGCGAGTGACATATACCCCCGCTCTTGAATTGCGCACGGGCATGAGCGCGAATTCCTTCTCAGCTTCCCTGGTGCAAGCATGTGAGCCAAGTGCGATGTCTTGTCATCGCAAAGAAAGGCTGTCGATGGTGTTGCAAGATAGGGAACACTCACCTTTCAGGCGAGCCGCTAACCGCATCCCCCACACACACACCTTGGAAGGTTGGCGGCGAGGGCAACTTGTCGTCTGTTTGTGCTGGATCCCCCGTCTCTGTCTGCTGTATCGAATCAGTGCGCGTGACTGCGAGCAAAGGTTGCGTACGCCGCTATCCTCTTGTCAACCAGTCCTCCATCCCACGGATGCCGTACATGGACACCAAGCAACAATACTATGCATCCCCGCGAGCAAGCGGGCCGCGAGGCGAAGAAGAGAGAGCACGAGCTTGCCAGTTTCAGACGATTTCATTGGTCAGCACGTGACAGTCACACACAGAGTTTACTCCCTCGCGGGAAAATTCGAGGAACTTTCGTCGCGTGCTCATCATCTTCTCTCTGCTCTGCTCTGTGTGATGAGCGGATCTGATAGCCACGGGCTGCGAAAATAGTCTGCTAAGACAATATCTTCTGCGCTTCCTGGGTATGGGACACCACATCATCACTACGTGTAACACCCCTCATCATCGCTAATCTACGACGCCGGACTCTTATGTGGAGGAGGATGGGTTGCGCTCTCTGTGAGCAAAAAGAAAAGGACGAGTTGAGCGAAACGTCGGGCCTGAACCGCTCTTCAGCTCTTCGGAGAAAGGGTTGAGAAAGGGTTGTACACAGGTACGGAGTAGTGCAGACTACCAGGGTAGACTACTGAAGCTTTAGGCAAGGATTTCATGCGCGACTGCCACGTTGCCATGCCTGGAAGAAATTTTGCGGCCAAGGAGTTTTGAGCAATCAGGTTGAGATGACCAAAATAGTATGTACATCGTCGACCACAGTTGTACAGTAGTCTAGCCTCATACCATGAAAATTGTGCTGGACGACATGAGCACCAGCGATACAACTAAATACTTTCCCAAGGACCCCTGTACACAGAATCACGGACGGAAGCTCCTAGCCGGCAGAAATGATGTTGATGTATAGAAGCCGAAATCAAACCATTAGACTAAACGAGCTTTGCAGCACGGCGCTTCCAACTTAGACCGGAATTTATTTAGTGAGAAAACGAACTCACTTTGCCAGGACTCGAACCCACGACCTGGCCCATAGTAGGCTGTGAGGGTACCCACTAGATCACCGGGGCGACCGGTTATGTTCAGTGATGAAAAACGAGATCAAGTGGAATGGACCCTTGTGCGCAGAGATAGTCTACGTAAATATTGGTACACCTTCAGCAAAAAATGGAATATCTGAAGTTGCTCCTGCCGCATGTAGAGAGACCACTCTACAGTCGTAGTCTACGGTAGTCTACACAATTTTCGCCGCCTCGAGACTTCCACGAAATGGGGTCAAGAACGCAACAACAGTGCTGTATCATGCCCTCACACTTGTATCGGTGGGCCGCTGAGAATTTGTGAATTGCAGAACAAGACATCTAACGAATCATCAGTGTCGGCGATGGGCACGTATTGCACTTGCAGGACCATTCATTCGGGTATGACAGCGTCAATCCCAATGATGATGGGTTTTCACAGCAGAGGATGACGACGCCTTGTTGGTTCCTCAACAAACAGGATGTATGTCACCCGGATCGTTCGAAACCAACTCCTTCCAACGATACACGCAAGCAATCGGTTTCTCTCGTGTGAGCTCTCTTACTCCGCAGAAGGGTCTAAACTACTTGCCGTCCTAGCCCAGGAGACCCATTCTTCCCAGCCCGCCCATCGAACGGGACCCCCGACCAGGGATTTCACAACGGGTGCATCAGGAAAACAACGCAAACACGATGGTACATGCGATCACCTCACACAACTGCTTGGTGAAAATCAAGCATAAGTACGAACATCTCCCCCAGCCGAATGCCCAAGGGGAAACACAAACCGAACCACCACGACCAAGAGCACACAGCTCGATGGCGGGAGGACAGTATCTACATGTAGGGTAAGGTGTACCGGAGGAGAACTCAAGACATAAATGACAACCATAACTGTTGCCTGGCGTGATTGGAAAGAACTACGTACCACAGTTTGCCCGCAGACTGCAAGAAATATGCACGCCCTGGTGCGATCCCGTACAGCGCCAACGGCTGCCCGATACAATGCGTGCCAACGGGAGAACGGCGCAACTACAACAAATCACTAAAAGCAGGGCCTTTCGCGCTTTCCAACCACACCTACCGCATGCGAAGGGACCAAACGTGGATAGAGTACGACGGACAGCAATCTACGCCCTCGAATCCACAGACGAAAACACTCAATCCACGGCCTCGCACGCACACACACGTACCGATATTGCGGTAGGTGTCATTTTCGAGACAACACTGGCTTACATAGTTGCCAACATCACCCTTTGCAGCACACGATGTCCCAATCTCTTCCTCGAAAATCCTCCATCCCGCTCTCATCTCACATATATCCGCCCCATTCCAGAGCGACGCCACGCCTGACAGGGGTGGCTCGCACAACCTAAATAAACCCATACACCGTATACCACACAAAACCCCATATTCCCATTGTACCACCCATGGAAACATACCATACCATTCATGGTCTGGCGGTTGATGGTTCGTTGTGGGGACTGTTTCGATCGCTGTATAAATTCCGCGTTGGCGATGCTTAGCGGCAACATTGCAAAAGCCGTTCAAGGATTCTACAGTACCCATTGAGCCCGGCTTGGTTGCCCAAAAAGAGACGGCGTCAACAAAAACAGAAACGACAAACACTGCAGCAAAAGAAAATAAACGAGACCGAAAGACCCGCACGACAACAACGACGAAATATTAAAGTCTCTGGTGCACTTGCGGAACTTCTGAGAATCAGCATCACTCGAGAAAAAGGCCAGCTTCAGTTCCAAGGATGCCAGCTGCCTTCGAAACCACAGTTGTTGAGCATAATAAAATACGTCAACTGACGTCACAAGGACCTAGTTCGCAAAGAAAGCCATTTTCTTTCCTCGCTTCCATTTCAAGCCCAACAACGATCGACTCTATGCATGAGTTCCAAAATAATGCGTAGAACTTGCTTGTTGGATTGAAAATAAACGGAATAGACAAGCACCAATTCCGGAGACGAGCATGGGCTCAAAACACACGCACACACACACACGGCCCCTCACGGGGCCCCAGATCATGGCCTTTAGAACCGTTTACCTGTTTTCAAGCGCACTCACAGACTGACGTATTTTCCTTGGTCAGCTGGTTTGAGCCTTCGATGTTAACAGCAACGACACACACGTTGGCTCGGCGGTGACCACTAATCTTTCTGCCCGTGGTTCACGGGAGCGACCTATCGTACTACGCCCATCTCGAAGTCGTCCAGCTCGGAGAATCCATTCACGTAGGCCGCATGCAGCTCAGTCGTTTTGATGCGGATTATACCATGAGATCGGTTTCCAGCTCGCCTTCGACTTCCTCCGGAAGCTCTTCTTCTTCTTCTTCTTCTTCCTCCTCCTCTTCCGGTTCTTCTTGAGGAAGGAAGTCGGTGACGCACTCGGGGTGCAGGTCGGGCTTGAGATCCGCCTCGGCCTCTTTCGCGCCTGCCATGCCATCGAAAACCAGTACGCAGGCAGGCAGGCAGGCAGGCAGGCAGGCAGGCAGGCAGGCAGGCAGGCAGGCAGGCAGGCACCACAAAGATTAGCATTGTGCGAATGGGGATCTGCACCAGGAGAAGACCGAGAAAAGACAAAAACAAACCTAGTTCCGAGCATCAATGATTCGTACAACTCACAAAAATCACCGTGGGATTTATCTCGAGTCAATAGTGATGCCACTATGTAGCATTGCCGTTGACGATAGCATCGAGAAAGAAAGGGGGGTATCCGCCGGTGGGGAGTGCTGTGCTGTTGGCAAATCGCTTTCGAGAAACGTTTAGCAGCATTGAAGCAACACAACGTACCACAACGTCCCGCAAAGGCACCATCAAATGCGTAAGAAACGATGCACAGGCTGAAAGCAACAAACACTGCCGCAGCGCACTCCCCTACAACCGAGTGTTTGGTGGCCACAATCAACGTATTCTGGCTCGTCAAGATAAAAGATACAAACAGCTCCGGCCCGATCTTGGCGACAGACAGAATGACCCGTGACCCTCACCAGTAAGCATGTTGCTCGCAACGACCAGTGACTTGAGCTGGGAAAGACTCCGCAGGGACTCAGGGACGCTGCCTACACGTCGTTCAGTTCAGAGCAACAAACGAAAAAAACAAGGTTCAAGGCAGCCAGGTGCAGACACAAGTGCGGAAATCGACAGAGAAGCCAACAGGACAAAGCGGTGCAGGGTATGGAGGGGGGGCGGCGGGGATCATAGACAAGAATTAAGGAATGATGTAGAGAGCGAAAGGAGCATTTTGAAAGCGATGCAGTAAGTTGCATAAGATATCACGACCCCTGGACAGATTTTCAAAGCTTGATTACTCGGCAACGAAAACAGTAACGGTGCCGAAAACGGCGCATTTGGAACCGTCGGTTCGAGAGCTTTCCGAACACATATCGTTTGCCTTCGGCATCCTCTTGGTCGAGGAGTAATCGAGCGCTGCAAATCAGTCCAGGGGCTGTGGTATCTTATGTTAGTACGCGAGAGAAATGCACGAAACAGTCAGAAAGAAGGAGGAAAAAGGAAAAAAGAGAAAAAAAAAACGGAGGAAGAGAAAAGGGAAGGGAGAGAAAACGGAAGGGAGAGAAGAAAGAACGGAGGAAGAATCCTTCTACAGTAATTTGTTGTTCCTCCACCGGAAGAACCAACCAAAAACATCCAGAGCACACGACTACAGCAGCAGCCTCACGGAGGACAAAGACGAGTTTGTACAACTTACGTATCCCCCGCACGCCATCCCAGCGATGTTCTCTCTGATTTCAATGGACACCAAAGATTTCCCGTCTCACAGTCTCTCCTACCTGTGAGCTTGTTCTTCCCGACGGACATCGATTGGAGGTTGCTGAGCCCCTCCCCAAGCTCTTCCGGGATGGGGCCTGGCCAACCATAAATCCGACAAATGGCAGACACGGGCATCTCACTCTTTTTCTTCTGTAAGACTGAGCGATAGACATCCACCCCGTTCTCCGAGATGTGATCATCATTTCACTATTTTCCACTGTAAGACCGAGCGATAGACATACATCACGTTCTCCGAAAATTGGCCATGATTTCACTCTTTTTTTAGTGCAAGACTGCGCACTAGCCATCCCCTTTTTCTCCGATAAGCAATCAATTCACCATTTTCCACTCCAAGACCGAGCGATAGACATCCATCCCATTCTCCAGGGTGCAACACCATACCAAGGTGACCGCCAACAACAACCAATAGCCGAGCGCCTACTACAATACGGTCTTCCTGAGAGGTTGTCCTCCGTGTGCGACTACGCAGTGGGTGTTTCATCCACCTACTGAGGAACTCAATAACATGTTGGGAACTGGGTGGGCGGGACAATCTAGAAGCGACAAAGCAACTACGGATAGACTTTGGGGACAAGCGGGATAGGTGTTTGTGAGGGGTATGCTGTTGGAGGTCCGAGTGCGCCCCCCTCCCCCCCCCCCCGAAGATTGGGCAAGGCGGTTCATGTTAATCAAGCAAGGGTTTATGCCATCATCGTTCGGTCGTGGGCTACCGTTGTCCCCACATTTTACCCCGAACTCTGCGGGGAGGCGCGGAGTTCCACCAGCACGATATATTGTTAGAATCCTACCGGTAGGCGGAGCTGACTTCGTTCGAGATGACGGATGCGGAGTAAACTAAGAAAAGCGCAGCAGAGGTCGAAAAATTCGCTAACTTGAGACAGCGACGGCCATGGGTCACGGATGTGGAGCCTTCAAGAGCATGGGGTAGGGTGACACTGGGAATGCAGCTGGGGTTCAAGCTGGGAAGGTAGCTGGGCGGAGGTGGGTCCGGGAGAGGTTGTGAGGAGCGGTGAAAACAACCCGCCCCGACCTTGGAGGAAGACGAGAAAAAAAAAAGTCAGTGACGGGACTTCGTCGTGTATCGGCAACTCTTTTGAGACTTATGTGGCCAACGAGGGGCTGGCTCACACCCTACAAAAGTCTACGTTTCCCGTAAGGCTTCTGAACGGTCTCCAAGGTGAGGGCTGATCAACACCCACGGCGCAAGGTTGGTTGAAGGTAACGAACGTCACAAAAAAAGCTGTCATTTTTTTTGCAGCAATGACAAGGACAACAACGACGACGGCAACAACGGCAACAACCACAAGGGTCCTCTGCAAAATGATTATATCGACTACCAAGCCACGGAGCCGCGGGCTCCGGGCGTGGTTGTGTAGCCGTAGGCAGACGAAAAAAGAAGGGAAAAAACATTTATCCTCGCCCACGAGTTGGCTACGGGGTTCGAGGCGAGGTGTGATGACGGCAGAACAAGCGACAAAGACGATATTCTCGTCTTTTGTGCCCCAAGGCAGCAAGTGTGTAACGGTTGAGACCCTCAAGCGGTTGGTTATAGCGGAAGGCACACCTCTCCGTTTTGTCGTGCGGCTGTGTCACCACTATCCCGGCGTCAGGTCTACTTCCCGTCTTCACCCTTTTCGGCGGCTACACATTCCACCGGGAAATAACATATGTCTTCATGGATCCGTCAATGGCCACCCAAGGTTCCTACTGTACAGGCGAAAGAAAAAACAAAAAAGGCGAGGCGCCATCCTGCTTACCGGTGAGCTGGTTTTGGCTGAGGTCCAGTTTCTGAAGGGCCGGGAGACCGCCCAGCTCGCAAGGGATTTCCCCTTTGGGGGAAGCAGGAAAAACAAATGAACAGAAACACATCAGCAGCATGGATCTGTAGTTCACCATCCTCGCATCGCGTCAGAGCGCTCAGCCATCGTGCTATGTTCGACCTTGTAGAGAGAGAATTGCGAGGTACAAGTATGTAGTTTCCGCTCTCTGTCTCGTCCCTTGCGTTGTATCCCATTTTCTGCAGCTCATGTCGTAGAGCCAGCGGGAAAAAACGAACACAGCCGAGACCCCCAAAACACCGAGCAGCGGTAGGCATCACTTCACACAATCCCCAACCTCGACATCTCAGTCCGTTCCAATCATGCCGGGCCGCGTTCTTCGAAAGGCGAAAACATCGGCCTTGGTGGCAACGTCGATCAGCATCAACTCCGTCAAGCGCTGCCACCCATGGAGTGAACGCTTCACGCGTCGACTCGAACGCGCGGTAGGGCGCAGCTGCTGCCACACGATGTCGACCGGAACCGACGACCAAAAAGGACCACCCATCCGGTTCTCCACAACACCCTAACTACCCGTGCAAGTTCACACGACCACGACCACACCCAAGCGAACGCTCCCAAACAACGACTTTTCCACCACGGCAGGCACCATATCACCGCGCGGAACCTGCACTCACCGGTAAGCCGGTTCTTCGCGAGCATGAGTGTGGTCAGCAGCTGCAGATCCGACAGTCCCGCCGGGATAGACCCTGCGGCGAAGGAAGAAGGAAGTAAGAATTTCTTTGTGCAGTTCGGGGTCGTGGTGTGCTCATGTTTTGCGTGCCTACGCGGTTAGATCAGTGACAGCCCGTCCTCGAGAGGACGGGGCAATCGTTCCCACAGGACGTAGTTTTGGGTGGTGGGCACGTGCGCTCGAACACGTGTCGTTGGAAAACCCGCGAAACAAGGCCGCGGTAACCTTATCGAGGAAAGCGTAACTGTCGGCCTTCGAAAGCAACGCGGCTGATGGCCAGCCTTCGTCGACCGCAGAGAGAACAATCCGCAAAAGACTACACAACAGGAGCAGCTTCCAAAACAAAAGTAAAAAGGGAAGCCTGCAACTACAATACTCGCTTACCGGTGAGAGCGTTGGTAGACAGATTCAGGACCATGAGCGCCCCGAGTTTCGTAAGCTCCACAGGGATTGGACCTGCAATATACGCCAACAACACACACACGCACATATCGGGAAAAAATGCAACCATTAGAGCAGCAGCAAAGTGGGGTGAAAGGTTCAGAACGAATAAAAATGAACTGCAGGGAACGAAGGTGTGCGCCAAAGCTAGTGACGAGCCGGATGGAGCAAAGCGACGAAGGAGAGAGGCTTCTTTAAGAATGGTCCCGGGACAGCAGGATTGATGCGCGATCGTACTGTTGTGACTGCTCCTTTCGCAAGACTCGACCCCTGTTGTCCAATCCATGCCGCAACCCTCCTGTCGGATGAGCCAGCGGATTACAAAGCGTGCTCGCGTGTTTTTGTCCCGATTTGACCCTCTGTTATGGCTACGTCGCTCTTGGTCGCGCTGTTCGCCGTCGCCATTTAGAGGGGCGGGGCTCACAGGGGATGACGACTGCCCTACAGCCTCAAACCGTTCGCAGTACCAGACGCACAAGAAGGCATTACATCTCGGAGACAAGGACGTTTCGAAGTGTACCCGCGAAAACGTTTTTCCTTGAACGAAACTGGAACCAACGGCGTAGAAACCGTAAAATCGAAGAGGCTCTGTGAACACCCAACTACCCTACCAAGTGGGGCGCTTTGTTGTCATCTATCTCATCTCGTTCGGGGTCACTTGAGGATGCTTCTCGCGAGGCGACCGCAGCCTGACGGTCTCAAAACGATAACATTGTCTTTGTATTACTCCGAATATGAGATCAAGAAGGTCCTGCCGCCCGCTCTCGACACGCCGCCGGTCGCCTCTCAAGGGGGTTCGCAGACTGGAGAGCATTTCCTTTTTCGGACCTACGACACACACTTGATACAGAGTGTTCAGGGTCGCAAGGAGAGATCAGTATTGCTCGATCAAGATACGGTACTAGTACTTGCTCGGAGTAGCCGTTGCTTCGCAGCCAACGCTCTTGCGGACGCTTAGCGTGCCGGTATCCGATCGAAGGGATGGACGCACTCACCGCTGAGGGTGTTCTCACTCAAATTTAGCTCCTTGAGGTTGACGAGCTTTCCGAGTTCGGTGGGGATGCAGCCTTGGAGCATACGGGGGTGAGAGAAGGCCACAACGCCACAAGCATGCACATAGATAGACAGACAGACAGACAGACAGATAGACAGACGCAGGAACACAGAGATAGGGACACAGGAGAATCAGAGTTTTGTTAGCACACGCGGGTGCAGCCCCGCAACGCACTCGAACACTTCGAACCGTTTCGAACATATCTGCTGAAAAAACGATAAATCTTGTTTTCAATGGCATTAGCAGTTCCCTATTGGGAAGTTGAACGGAGGACGTACACCACACAGGCCCCGTGGGCGTCACGGAGGACGAATCTTTCAAAGCTGCGCGGGAGAAGGAGGAGGTTCCTGCGACAACTTACGGTCGCAATAAAAAAAACAAGTTGTGCATACCTGACAGTTGGTTGCCGGACAAGACCACCGCCCGCAGAATGGTCATGTCGCCGACCTGCGACGGAATGGGCCCTGAGCGCGACGGGGTTTGCAAACGAACGAGGCATGATCACGAAGGTTCGTTCATGGGAGCGAGGGGATGTTGGGCTAGAACCAGAATATCAAGGTTCGGCCGACAACAACACGCTGACATTTGGCCGACCAGTTGTTTGCGTGAGCCTGTATCGTTAGTACCGAAGGCGCTATTCTGCTGATCAACGAAATGACGACAGCCTCAGCGTGGCTAAAAAACGGAGACTTCTTCTAAAGGCCATGATCTGGGGCCCCGGGAGGGGACGTCACGAAGGTAGGTGTGTGTATGGGGGGGGGGGTGTACTCATAGCCGTGCAAGCTGTAGTCGTTGGACCATTCACCTCGCACCCCCACAAAGCCGGGACGGAGCACGCCGGTTTTTCACCGGACCAGGCTCTCACATCACCAAGCGCGAAGCACCGTGAGGTATTTGGCGAGTCGCATGGAGGATGCGCTGAATCCTGCTAAGGGTGCTCGGCATCTTGTGCTTACTTCCTTGCTTACGGAGGACAGCTGCGAATGACTTAATTTATTTTCTGGTGCTTTCACTTCCAGAGACAGTTACAAGCACGGTGTAACTGCCGCGAGGGTGCTTGACTAACTTAACACAACGTGGTGTGATTATCCCCTTTGTGCGGAGTGAGGGTTTTCGACCCCGCAAAACATGATCTACTCGACTACCATTAGGGTTACCGCAAAAAAAAAAAACGGAGGCCGGGGGGAACAATAGTGACGGTGGTCTCGCGTTCAAGCGGGTCGACGAAGAGCATGCACGGAAGAGTGTTATTCAGGCCGCCGAGGCATGGCGCCAGCCTCCGAAGTATCGCGTGGAACCGGGAAATATTCAAGGGTTTTCATGCATTACAAGACACAGGATGACGCCGGGTGACTTGATCGGCACGCATACATACCACGCGTCGGAAAACACGATATCGGAAGCATGTTGGTACAGTCAACATGAATTGAAATGTCTTTTCAAGTGACAAAGTTTGGTTCAATGTGTGTTTCCCCCCTCCTCTACCCTCCTCTACCCTGTGAGATTGCATGCGGTGATATACAGCCCCCCCCTATGCTTGTGAGGCGATGCACCGATGTAAAAAAAAAATCTACCTGTGACGCCGCATGGGGTGATCAAAAGCCGCCGCCTCTACCTGTAAGGCCGCATGCAGTGATTCGAAGGCCTACATGTGAGGCCGCATGCGGTGATCTAAAGCCCACTCTACCTGTAAGGCTGCATGCAGTGATAAACAGCCCCCCCCGTCTGCCTGTGAGGCCGCATGCGGTGATGCGAAGGCCCCTTTAGCATGCGGCGATCTAAACCTCCCCCCCCCCTCCGCTTACCAGTGAGGCTGCTTGCCGTGATGTAAAGCCTTGATCCCGAGAAGAGATCGGCCCTCATGTACTCCAGGTCTCCGCCCACGAAGGTGGGGTCCATCTGGAGGACCTGGAACACCGCCGCCGCCTTCTGCTCCCCGGTCGAGCACCTGCAACGGTAAAAAAACGCCAACACCAGAAGCAAGGGGGTGACACAAGGACGTAACCACAACGCAACACCAAAAAAGGGACGCCGAAAAAAAAGCACGACGATCGGTCAGGTGGGTGTTGTCGTGTGGATGTCCCGAAGTGAGGATCTGGTTCTTGTGGTGATGCTGCGGGTGTTGTTCGGTGTAACGATGCTTGTCGTAGGTTTCGATGTCGATACTTGTACGATTAGTTTTGTGGAGCGAAAACCTGCCTGTGTCGTGCAGGGGGACCATCCTACTGGCGGGGTCGGCGCCCGGACCCCGCCAGCAATGCTTGTTCCCGAAGAGATAATGATGATGCATTCGCGGTCCTAACACTGAACACCCGGAAACTTCCAAAGAACTCCCATACCATGGAGATAGAACTTCATTGTCGTAACGCCGTAGGAAAAACGTCTTCTCCCCAAGAAAAGCCAGACAACCAAGACAGAATTTCGACCAAAGCGCGTGCGGCACGGGGGAGGGAGGGAGGACCAAAAGAGGCGACGTGTCCACCAGTGCCCAGGGCTGGGATTCAAAGGGGTTGTCTTGAAACAAAAACGTGCGCACACAACCGGAGAAGAACGGCGGATCACTCGGATGCCACCGCGGTATCGACTTCAAAGATCTAGGTTGGATCCGTATTGCGCGCACGTAGAGCATTCGAGTACCCGCCCCCGCTCTGTAAGCCTCAATTACCATGTCTTGTTGTTCTTCCCGAAGCATCTGTTGGTCCGATTGCTCCCGGATCGCAAGCCAGAAAACCAGTATCCGAGTCTCGGTCTGTCTGTCTGTCTGTCTCTCCTCTACCTCTATCTCTGTCTGCCTGTCTGTCTGTCTGCCTGTCTGCCTGTCTGCCTGTCTGTCTGCCTGTCTTTCTGCCTGTCTTTCTGCCTGTCTGTCTGTCTGTCTGACTGTCTGTGTGTGTTTCTCTCTCTCTCTCGCTTAGAAGGAGACACATGGCACACTGCGATAGGTGCCTCCGCGGCAAGACCAAATCGACCGACCCCTGACGAGCCCTTGCCCTTTCTCTCCATCCGTCCGTGTGTGACAGCCTTGTGATGCGCCTGAGAGTCCAACGACCCCCGCCCTCCACGGTACACCATCATGGATTGCTTCTTCACCACATCCCCGTCGCCCCCACCGAGATTCACGCCTCCTCAACTTGAACGAGACGGTGCCTGCGTCGTCAACCTCCCGAAACACCGGAGATAACAAAAACTCCCCCCCCGTCCGGCAAAAAACCGCCCCCGGCGACTCACCTGTTGGCCCAAGCGAGGTAGACCAGTTTCTCCGCTGCCTTGGCCTTCTTCTTAGCCTCATCCCTGGAGGGGTTCAGACGGGAAAAAAACAGTCAACAGACGAATGACGAGGTGTCCTCCATAATACAAAAGCATGTACCAAAGGAAGACCAGCGAAAATGGGGGGGGGGGGGTTACTTATGTAAACGCATGCCGCAGCCGTCAGACCATTGACCTCGCATCCCTACAATGCCGGGACGGAACGATGTGCCGGGTTTTCACTGGTCCAGGCTGCTTTGCACAAGGATGAACCACAAGCTGGGAGGTTGGGGGGGGCGGGGCACCACATGGACCTTGCATCTCTCCCCGTAGGATACGCGTGAACCACGAGAAACATTTTTGGGCCGTTCGCCCACGGAGGTGTGGCTCTGTGTTCGACATGGAATTAGGACAGAACGGCATCGATGGGACTCACGATATCGTAGGTACGCGAAGTCCCCCCCCCCGCAACAGCAAATAAAAAGGTGTGCTGCGTGCGTATCCCATTGGGCACTATGTTACATACCCGCATCGCAAACGACGGCGCCCCCCTCCCTCACCTGAGCTTGAACAGGTTCCGCGTGACGGCGGGGTCCTGGTCGATCATCTTGAATTGCGTAGACAGGGAGGGGGCCCTCTGGCTGGAGTAGCCGTGGACGATCTTGGCGCACAGGGAGAGGCCGGAAGCGCAGAGGTTGAGCACGCCGGTGACCGAGGTGGGGCGGGTGATGACGGTGATGATGAACTGTGGCACGTCCTCGAGGAACACGTTGGCCAGGAGCTGCCACCCGAGACCCACGTGCTGGAGCCTGCTCAGGGGGTTGCCCTGCTCATAGGGGGGGGGGGCGTACTTATTTAATTAGGGCTTGCTGAGGGACGAGGACAGAGACGGGCTACAGTACCTGAGGTGGGGGTGCTGGGGGTTTTCAGCGAACTGGGGTTGGGTGGATGTAGGCATTGGAAAGGGGGGGGGGGGGGGTCACGACGACAAAAGTATGGCACAACAAAGAGGGACGACGACACTGTGGCAAGCCGGTCGTCCAAGACGGCTCCGAAAAACGCTATTTTGAGGACAACCTTGCGCAGCATACGCAAGTGCGTGCGGTTGCTTGTAACCTTTCGCACGACAGCCCCTTTGGTTCGCGAACTTTGGAGAGGGAACACCAATGCCTCCAGCCTGGGTAAAAATATTGCCCAACTTGATGTGCAACTGGCGCAAGCATAGATTTCATCATACTGGTACTTGATTTTGGATGTTGGAAAAAAACATTGAGAAACAAATTGTGCCGCACCTTCCACATGTTCTTGAGCTTGCTCATGAGCGAGAACTCGGTCGTGGATAGGGCCCACATGACAGTCCCGACGATCGCGAAGAACAGCGCCAGCTTGCGGATCAAGAACCTGCACCAAACAACCAAAAAACGCGAGGCGCATGTAGCGACAAAAAATCCCGCCCCCCACTCTTCTCGACGCTTCCAAGCACCACACCTTTGCAGGCGTCCTTCAACCATTGTATTCTCCCCGCAAGTTTTCTCAGAGAGCACCAAACGTCCGCCCAAGGATGGCCTCTCCTCCGCTGAAATAACAGAACGCGCCCGCAGTTAAGACTCGCTATTAATAGTGTTGGCTGAGGCTGGGGTGGGTTCTTACTGTTTTCCTAGGGTCATGCTACGAATGGCCGCAATATAGGTTTTAAGTGTAGGGGTTCTTGGTTCCTACGGGGCATGCTACGAATGGTCGCCAGTTCTTAACCGAGCTCACAAATGGTGCAGCTCAAGTTCAAAATTTTGTTTTCTTTTTTTTCGCTCAATGTCTTAACTCCTGGGTTCTTGAGCGCGGGGTCGTTCTGTAGCGCCTTGCACACTCGTGGGTGAAGCCATGGGGCACCCGTGTGTTCAAGGTGCTTTGGGTAGCTGACATCGAAGGCGGATCGGATCGCCCCGTCATGACAACTTTCCAGGCGATAGTGTTCCGAGACATTTGCACCGAAAATTTCTTCGTGCGCCAAAAAAAACAAAAAAAAACTGCAGACGTAAATGGTACAGGACATTGCAGTACACAGTAGGAGTAACCCCCCCCACTTGCAAGTTGTGGTCATCGTCGTTGTTGCTGTTGTTGCTGCTGCTGCTGCTGCTGCTGCTGCTATTGCTGCTGCTGCTGCCACTTACCCCTGCCCGGCCAAACCATACTTCAGGAACGTCCAGTCGGTGATGAGGTCGAGGTCTCCGACGAAGCTCGACAGGAGAACGATCGGGGTGATCCTGGAAAGGATAGTCCGCCGCTTCAAGACCTGCCGGTCTTTGGCCGAGAGGAACCAGCTGTGCCCCCCGGAACCCCTCCCCCCCGATGCTCCCAGGCCTCGGCTCGTTTTCCCCGGGGCACGGCGCTTGATGGCGGGACCCACTGCTTGCCGCCATCAGGCGAAACAAACGAAAAGGAAAACGACGTCATGGAAAGGCCTGCGTCGCCCTAAGGCGCCGGGGTTGCTGCTCACGTTCTGAGTAGGTTCTGATACCAGCCAAGGGGGTACGATTTGCGGACTGTCAGGGGCCAGCGCCCGGTATTTTCGTCGTGATGTTGGTCTGCTGCTGCGAAGTAGAAAATACGGTAGGTCGCGACATCGCCACCGTATTGCGGCCGGCAGGGGGTGGCGTGAGCGTGTACGCGAACCAAGATCAATCCGCCTGTCCGTCTTGCCTCCTTCTCTTTCGTCTTCACATGTATCCAACATACGTCCATACGTACCGGTAAGCTTAGATTCTATTGGTAAAGTTCGATAGACTCACGTTCTTCTCTTTCGTCCATACACCCACACGCCAATACGTACTTTTACGCTTGGATATATTTGGAAACATTCGACAGACTCACAATTTTCTCTTTCGCCCATACGCCCATGCATCCACCACATATGCCCGTACGCTCGGATTTTTTCAACGTTCGATAGACTCACGTTTTTTCTCTCATCCATACATCCATACATACCGATATGCTCGGATAATTACCCTGTAAACGTCCGATCTATACATACTCACGCTCCGTCGAACGAGCTGTAGCCGCGGCATCGCTGTTGACCGAGAGCGACCTAGTACCGGCCCCGAACCCGCCGCCGTCGCTGTTGATGGACAACGAACGAGGAACGTCGCCACCATCGCTCCCGCCGCCGCCGCCGCCGCCGCCACCGCCAACCTCTTCGTCGTCGCCCCCCCACGACGGCAGCCGTTGGTAGGATCCGGAGAAAGTTCCCCCGCCCTTGGACGCGGACAGGCCTAGGCCGGCGAGAGCCCTGGACTTGTCGCCCGGGGGCGGCGGCCGCGGGCTCCCCGGGAGCTGAAACGTCGCTAGCGGCACCGTCGCTGACGTACCCCGCCACCGCATGCTTTACGGGTTAGGACAAGACAGCGGCACAGCGTAGTGTGAAACCACCATGGTCGTTTCAAGCAGCGGAGAAAGGCGGTGGGGGGGGGGGGGGGGGTGATCGCTGGGCGGGGAAATGGGAGAAAGACAGCTTCGGAGCTGGGAGGTCGAGGTCATTTGTTGTCGAAAAGGATGAGACGCCGCCATTGGAGGGAGTGAGGCAATGTAGAGAGACTAGGACACGCATATGGGGGAAAAGGAGGACACAGGGGAAAACATTAATATTTGGAACGTGATGCACAAGAAGGCGCGTATAGTGGAAATGTTTGACTGGAACAAAGGGGCAAGTCTGACCGATCTCGGCCAAGCCAATTTGGTTAGACGAGTGCTGTGAAACATCGCTAGGATACAAGGTCGTGTCTAGCCTCCCAGCCCTCCCCCCCGAAGAAAACAAACCAACCAATGTGGACGGCAAATTGGCAACGCCGTTAATGAAGAGTCAGCAAACGTGCGGAAAAACGGCAACCCACTTGGCTATGTCAGACCTAATGCACCGCGGTAGAGACGAAGCGCACAGGTAGGTCTACTCTCGGAGATAATGGGAAAAGTAAGGCATGCCCTGTCCCATTTCATTTCATATGGCTTCGCGTCTTCCATTTTTGCCGATGCTGCCGAAAGCTTCGCAAGGATCTTTTAAGCAGTGCCCCCCCCGCCCCCCCCTCGGTGTTTGCCATCGGGGTTGGGTTTTCGTCGCTTGGCAACGACGTTGTAAAACAAGCCAATTCACTTCGTGAACTCGGCAACCAGGTTA